ACCGTTTCTTGAGCAAGCTCATCAATGCTTTGCGGCTGAGGTAGTCTGGCACCTCACCGATTGGCTCATCTCCAACTCGCTTACCAGTTTCCTCTAGGTGCCAGCCAAGAATATCATCATAGGCAGTCAGAGGTGTCTTGTTCTTTCGTAAGATATCCATCAGCCTGACGCCCCTTGCCTGCTTTGCATTCAGTGGGATGTTGCTACGCCGACTCTTCTCACAGTACTGTCTGAATTGCTTGATAATTCTGTTGTCAGGAGGTCTCTTGATCCTTGTTTGCTTGTCCTGGTTGTCGTTTTGTATGATTGTGGCCACGGATCCTTCGCTACTGGATTCCTCATCACTGTCAGTTTCATCCGAATCCTCGTCTGTGGCTTCCTGATCCTCGTCCTCCGCATCTACCTCTTCTCTGCCTTCCCTAATACCGTCACTTTGGTTGCCAATTTGTGCATCCGCTGCCTGTTTTCTATCATCCTCGTCGTCATCCTCATCTTCGTCGTCCTCATCCTCATCTTTAGAACCAGTACGATCAACATTCAAGGGGTCCCATTCCATTGGATCATCTTCCTCTTGCATCTCTTGTGGAATGTCCTGACTGGATTCTTCCTCTTCCTCTTCCTGTGTTGTTGGTGTTGGTGCCCTTGCGGGCCTCCCAGTGTCAGTAGCACCTAGATCTGCAGCCCTTGCCCTGGATCTACTCCTTCTTGTTAGTCCAGTGTCAATGCCCAGCACTCTGTTCCGTGCCTCAATACAAGGTTGATAGGCTTGTATGTGACTTGATAGAGCTCTCTGGTTCTTAAACCAATCATCACAGTACTCACAACGATACCAAACCATTTGTAGATAGGTACAAATCAACTGGTAGCTTACAGACGTTACTTTTTAGCATATAGAACGTACTAGACACCGTCAAAAATGTGGCTTCTGAGGTTCCAAATTGACAGTTTCTGGGCTCTGGAGTGGCTCGATCTTATAAAATGAGATTGTACTTAGCAATCCGTAAACTCGTCCTGGTGCATTCTGTATGTAGTTTGCCTCCTAAATACATACGCATACCTAAGTAACCGAAAGGGCACGACTGGGTTGGCAAGTCGTGGCTGTATGTTATCATGCATGCTACCTTACAAATCAGGAGCTCGTCGGATCCGGTTGGATGACCTCGCCTTCCGAAACTGCTAAATTACTACCAAAGCTTTAACCAGCGACGTCACAATTTTATATGCCAAACACGTGGAATGGTATGGTAGGGGTGCTCCCGTTTTCGCGCTACCTAAAAATGCGCTTCTTAGCTACTGATTGCTACCGTATTGCGATCCACCAAGGGTATCGAAATCCTGAAGCAAAGCGTATATTTTGCGACACCACAGCTCCGAAAGGATTGGCTCCGTCTGGTGGAATTGCTGCTGGAATGGGAAGCTTTTCTGAATCAACGGGAGATGGACATTCACACTGTGAAGCTTACCCTTATTTCCAGTAAATTGTACGCGCAACGTCCTGTAACTTCGAAAAGTGCGTAAAAACGAACTGGATCGAAGCAAAATAGAAAAGTGCGTAATAGTGTGTACTTACGCACCAAAGGTGCGTAGAGTGCATAGTTTTGAACTTGGTGCATAAAATTGTGGAAAGATGCGTAAAATGACTGTAGTAAAATAATGTATAAGTGCATAAAGGTGCGTAATTACGCACCATTGGTGCGTAAAATGTGTAATTATGCACCAGGGGTGCGTAAATCAATATGTTCAAAATCAGTTGTTTTACCTCTTTACAGAGCGTTTGCAGTGCGGGATGCTGGGATGTTTCTGGAACATAGCCATTTTAAGCTGTTTTAGGACATATGTGGCAAACCCCCTGAGAAAAGCCAGCTTTGCTCTGAGGTCACACTTCACGACATTTTGGACCCCCTCGAGTAACAATGGCTGAAATTTAATAGCTTGGCCATCGCATCGCTTGACCTCTACATGCTTGCATGCATTCTCATTAATTTAAATGTACCGTGTCATTGAAATCAAGTAAGAGTTTGGATTGGGGAGGAATTGTTCTCCTTCAAATGGACCAAAACTCAAATTTCTGCTGGTGTTAGGTGTTGTGGTAGGGTGTCTCCCAACACCTAAAGCAAGCAAAATGATGAGTTTTGGTCTCTTTGATGGAGAACAATTCCTCCCCAAGTAGCACGATGGGTGTTTTCATGTGTTTCAATGGGATTTCGGCAAAATGTGAGTTCAAAATGTGAGGTTAGCTTTAAACTAGATGGCGGGCTCTCCAGTCACAAAAAGTCTTTGTTGATTCGCATTTAGTCATTGCATCCAAAGAAAATCGCATCCCACCAAGTGCATCCCTTTTCGATCATGTTTATCAGTGTCAGCCCATGTTGATTACTCCAATTGTTCCGTGAACTCCTCTCACAACACATCCGATTGACACCACTCCTTCCGAGTGACATCTTCAATGGCGTCCGAATGAGTTTCAGCGACCATGGGCATCGGCCGGCATCTCATTTGGTTTGTCTTTCAAGTGCTTCCGATTGAAATTTGACGACCATGTTGATGGCTTGAGTATCGGCAAACCTCTTGGATTCAACTGACAAAGATCGCATCCGAATCGTTCAGTCGGAGGCGTCTTCAGTTTCAGTTGGCATCTCATTATTTTGACTATCGGCACTTAAAAAGCAAAGCTCTGTCGGAATGGTTCTTCATTATCTTTCCTTTCATTCGGTCGATCGAGGGATCGGCCATGGGGATCTGCCGTTCAGGAGGTGTTATCTCTTCGCCGTCGCTGTTATCTTGTAACCACGAGATCCATAACTCTACCCTTAAATAATTTCGCTATTTTGGCGGAAAAGCGCACTTTCGACACACCAACCATGGTAGGGGTAACCAAATAAGCCGTTCGGATCGCTTCTATTACCTCTTAGACGAACATAAAGCATGTTGGTTTGGTGTTGAAAGGTTGTCTGGGTCGTCCTGGAGCCCATTGGCGAGAGGAGGTTTCCATTGCCACCACCCACAGCTTCGGCGGCAACCATCGTTTCGGCATCGTTTCGCTACCATTTCGTTGTCTTCGTTGTCTTCGTTGTTGTTATCTTCCTGGACGCTCGACGATAAGAGGAGCGCTACCATGGAGCAACGATAGTAACAAGGCCTCGAAGAGTGCATGGCGTCGAACGATAACAACGCAAGATGGGATTTTTGTGGTAAAGGTGGTAAAGGCAACAAGGAACGAGCGAACGAACGAACGAACATGTCCTCGCGATTCACTGCATAACAGGCTACCGCTACGGCTACCGCTGCTGCAACAAGAAGAGGATTGGCAACAGTCGCTACCGCTACTACAGTCTGTCGTATCGAGTGGCAACCATCGGCAGAGCTTCCGCAGGAGAACAAGACGCTACGACGACGCTACCGCTACGGTTCCACCGTAACAACAGCATCGGTTACTGCTACCGCTACTACTACCGCTACTACTACCGCTACCGCTTCTACTATCCACAACAAGCCGGCAACTGCGGAACGAGCGATTGTGGAAGTCAGACCGTCGTCAACAGAAGAAGTCAACAGAAGAAGAACGTCAAAAAATTGATTTTGCTTACTTCCAGCGGCATGGCAAGCCAAGAACAACAATATACCAGGTCGACGTGGAAGATCAACAGCAGCTACAACGGAGCTTCCATAGACCAATGTGTGGATTAGATTTTGCGAGTGTCTCAACAACTTACGGTAGCCTCGGTGGCTTGACAGCGGATACGGTGGGGTATACATACGGCCAAAGCAAGAGCACCACTACGGCTAGGCTCCTCATGATGGAGTTTGAAGTGGCTGACTTCACTGTATTGCAAGTTACTATTCCCATCAGCAAGGGAAATTTTGAAATTGAACTGCTTCCGGTGCAACAATAATCCTCGACCATGGCGCTCAGAGCCGCTCCCAGCGACGACACTTCAGGTTTTCATGTGAACCAACATTGTGGATGTCAATTTTACTTGTAATAGTACTGATATATAGTCTCCAATGAGTTACCCCTACCTATTTTAATGGCTTGGTTTGGTGACTTTCCACCAATTCTAGAGCAAAATCTAAGGGTCCACCCATGGATCTCGTGAACAAGGCCTTCCACCGAATTTCGCTTCGTCTGGCTTCCGCCATCCTGCAGCTGCTCTTGAGTCCAGTCGTCCGTCGCTGATCCTTCTTCCACCATGCAACCATTCCAGCCGCAAAAAAAGAAGAAAGCTGGTCGCCCCCCGAAGAACCGTCGAAGGAGAAGTCATTCTCCAACTGAAAAGAGTGGCAAGAATCGTTCCAAGGAAGAACAGCAAGAGTATGATCACAAGAACCCTCCTCCTCTCACTCCAGTGCGGCCACGTGGAAGACAACCTGCCCAGCCCAACTCTCCACCACGGACTTCAGGCACTGGATCCAACACCAACCGGTATGGTGCCTTGGAGGACCAGGACGATGTCATGTCTGTTTCAGACGCCTCCACGAGGACTGAAAGAAGTGGCATGTCCTTGGATGGCTCCAACCACTCGAACCGATCCAACCAATCAACCCGCCGATCCACCCGCCGAAGGAGCCTCAGTCTTGAAACCGACGATGATGATGCCGATTTAGAGGATACTCTCTACGCTGATAGTCGGGAAGATGACAACGATGTTGATGCCTTTATGGAAGAGAATGATCCGGATCAAATCCTGGACGAAGCCTTGGAAGAACAGAACGGCTATCCTGTGCTTCAAAGCGAAGTGGCTCGACGCATTGCCATTGCTTACATGTTTGTGAACGTCTACGACATGACGGACGACAAGGATCTTTGGAAAAAACAAGGCAACATTCATGCGGACATCTTGAAGGCACTTCGCATTCCTCCAGGCAATGATTACCGTTATGTGTTTGAAAATGTCTTGGATTGTCACGCCAAAGGCAAGACTTACACTGGAGGGCGCCAGAAGCTTGGCCGGACTCGTCCACCCAAGATTGAAATTGATGCGGCTGAAGCTCAGATCGTTGGTGACACCTTGGAGGACGGATACAGTCTTGCGCAAGCCCATCGTCGTGTCAACAAACACCGCGACGACGAAGACTTGGAACCCCTTTCGTATTCGGCTGTCTATGGCGTATCAAAGCGCCTCAAACCTTTGGTGTCTCCGATCAAGAAGCTGAAGCAGGGAAACCGTGACAAGGCATCGGCTTGGGCCAAAGCAAGACTCAACTGGTGTGCGCAGCTCCTCTGCCGATTGGGCCGTCGTCACTTGATCCCTGAGGAAGTCATGGAGTATTTGAAAGACGAGAATGGGGATCTTCCCGATTGCTTTGACGAAGAGAAGTTGAAACCCTACGAGTTCAACATCGCTCAAGTTTGCTGGTGGGATGAGACGCATAAAGCCTGTGCTATTGGGGATGCGACCGTCCAAGCTGGCAGGAAGTTTCAAGTCAAATTTCCACGTAATGAGAACGGCAAGATTGACTTGGAGAACGGCAAATACAAGGAAGAGGACAAGTCTTTCCTCCAAGTCAAGTACGACAAGGAGATCCGCATTTGTCCTGGTTGTGTCTACTTTGGCGACGAAGAAGTCAACCCTGACAAAGATGGCAATAATGTCAACGACAGCAAGACCGAATTGCTCGACTACTTTGACTACAGTGGCAAGATCATGCTTTCGATCAAAGATTACAAGACGAAGATCAACACTGAGATTGGCCGCGTCAAGGGTCTCAAGAGCGGAAAGAGCTCTGGTTGGGTGACTGATGGACGGGAGGATGGAGTCATCTACCAAGGTGATGACGTGACCGCATTCAATGGAGTCGCTGGTGCCACTCAGGGCAAGTTGAACAACCACGGTATCTACACTGTCAGGGATGTGCTTGAGCTTCCAAGGAACTCGGCACAGGAAAAGGCTTTGCTCAAGGAGCCCGGTATCAATAGGAATCTTTTGACGAAGTGGCAGGTCTCTGTGCAGCTGAGTGCAAAACCTGGTGATCCGCCGGATGGTAATGACTATCGGAAGGCGGAGAATCCCTATCAGGCTCGCTATGGTCAAGGCTGGATGTCGAAGATCAAGGAAGTCTCACATTTGTCACCATACTGTTGTGTCACTGACTTGGTGGAGCACATTTACCTGAAGACCAAGCATTTCTATGAGTCTCGTCATCATGATTTTGGGAACAATTGGTACTTTTACCATGACGCATTGTCCCTCATGACGGCCAAGGTTACGGTCAAGTGGATGAAGGAGAAGGGATACTACAAGCATTGGTTGTTGCCTGTTTTGGGTGTCAACATGGAACCGGAGCTCAAGCGTTATTCAAAGGCACCGGTCGGGAACTCGCCAGAATTGATGCCGTGGGATTGCAGCCTGAATAAGGACTTGATGGATTCGCTTGCTTATCACTGCTTGATGACGTCTCACATGAAGGATGAAGATTCCCGCAAGTTCGACATTAGCACTCCAAAGCGAGGCACCGATGCTCTCCGCAGAATCTACAAGGTGGGGAATCCGACTGGCAGGAGGATTCGTCAAGATGTGCTCAAAGTATTGGACGCGCTCAAGGCCATCGTCGAACATTGGGGCTGTGTTGTTCCTGGACTTGGTGATCGAAAGGGCAAACGGCAACAGGTTGCTATTGATATGCTATGGAGGTTGGGAAACAAGAACAAGAGGGGCGGTGCCAGGACGAAGAATTTGGATCCCAACAAGTACAAATACAAGGGCCGCATCCATGCCGACGCAGTGGCTGGCGAGGATGAGAAGATCACAGCCTCTCTGGTCAGGTATCGAGATGAGCCAAAGGAGGTGGAGGTGAGCTTTCGTGTTGTTGTTTGCACTGCTTTTCTATGGTCTTATTTCTAACTCCTTTTGAACTGTTGCCATTTTAGGATGAGGATGAAGAGATGGAGGTGGAGAAGTGATTGTTGCAAGGCATGCAACAGAAGGGATTGTGGCTGTGTGTTTGTGGGGTGTGGTTGGTTGTCTTTAAAGTGAGTCTGTGGGTGGTTTATGGGCTCTGTGGGAACTGCATTATGAGGGGAAACCTTCACGATGTCGCGATCTTTGACGACGGATCTTTCGACGCGATGAGATCTTGGAGGAATTTGTGAGCGATCCTGGGTTTCACGACGGCATCGGCGAGCGACTCAATTCGCTCACCAGTTGGTTGGTGTCTTACTGGTTCCATGGTGGACTGCTTGTGAGAGAAAGCATCTCTTTACAGTGGTCAAAGAGGGCTTGAGCGATCGACGCGCTATTATCTTTTTTTCAATTTGAGATGCGTGACTGACCTGTGATTAAAAATTGATGACCTTTTTTAGTCACAATTCGGAAAGCGTCTTTTGAATCCACACTGAAATCGCCGGGCGAGTCTCACTTTTTACCAAAAAGTACATTAACATCATAGAAAAACTTTGCTCAACACGACACTTGTTGATGCTGGAATCAACACTTGTGCCCATGTTACAGCGAAAACACCACATCACCCCTCTCTTCTTACACCTTGAAGGACATTATCCAGCCAAAAGCAGCTCCATCGCTGAAACCAACTCTGACGATTTCAACGACACGGTATGTATGATACATGTACGTGTACATAGTACTCTGAGTATGATGTATTGGTACATTGGTACCGGCGGTACCAGTATGCATACAGCAGAGTACTCGAGTGCGGGAACGCGGGAACTATTAATACCGGTAAAGGGAACAGGGAATTTGAGGACGTGAGTGCGAAACCAACTCGGGGAAGTCGGCCTTCTCCTTTTGCCAGGTGGATCGAAGAAACTGTGTTTCAGTTTACCAGAACAAGGTGATTAATTATTTTAGCTCTGATTGTGTTGCAATGACCTTTGATCTGTCCTACTGGCCGTCAGGTTGAAGACTCTTCCAACTTACTCCACTACTGGTATGCATACCGTAGCTCTCAGCTGCTGTCCACTCTCTGTACTCCATGGATTGCTCAGTCACTGATACGACAATCTCGCTGGGACTTCCAGGGAGAACTAGTGGCACCGACCATTGCTCAAAGAGAAGGTATAGAATGCATCCAATGCAAAGGAGAACTCTGAACATCTTTGATCGGTTGCGTGGTCGTATGTCGTATGTCGTATTAACTCTCTCACACTCTCTTCTAAAGTGTCTATCGTATGTGCGGCACTTAATGCCACGATATCCCCCATTGTCTCCTGCAGATTCTTCCAGAGCAATCCTATGCAGCATTCATTTCTTCAAGCATGATTGAAAGTTGCTGTGAGTTGAGCAGTCTGTTGAAAATGACATTGTGCCAGTCTTTGAAATTTTTAATGACATTGTTCAGGACTCCTTGGAAGGTGACAGAAGCTTGGAAGCTCTTTGAAGCATTCTTCTGCTTTCTGCTGCACCCAATAAGTTCATGCTGTCACCTTAGAGCTGCGAGCCAGCGCTTTGCGGTCTGAGGACACGGAAACCGATTTTAAATCTGAGTTTACGAAGAGAACCCATACCTTTTGTAAGACTGCTCTGCTGCCTTTCCCTTGAAGTTTTAGTTTTACAGCCCCCATTTTGAAAGTGAATCTGTCCAGGCCATCTTACACTCTTTTATAAGATTAATTGTTATGAACACGTAGGGTGAGGACTTGACCCCATCTGGCTACAACTCTGAGCTCTGAGAGTGTTACTTCTATGTTTCCTTAATCAGCTAGCTATTCAGTCTTAGTAAATACTGATTGATGAACTCAAAACCTCTGCTCCAAGATTTTCCAAGCTCGTCAAGAGAGAATCCAAGGATAGATATTTTTATTTATTGGGTTCTTGGCTGTATTTTTAGACTAGATTGCAAACTTGGAATTGAATGTTAGTTCTTGGGTTATCTTAACAACAGGTCTGGGACCTGTAAACCAAATTTTCAGCCAGTAGACAAAGCATCGGATAGTGAACGTGAACGTTCCCGCAGAGCTCCCGCAGCATGGTTCCTGTGTTCCTATAGCTTTGCTATTCAAGTTCGGATGCTGCAACATAAGGAAGGACATCGAACAGTTGCCGTTGGGATAGGTCTCCTGTTCCAAGTGCCACCTTTAAGTGAAGCGAGATTCAGAGAAAGATCTCGAGACTTCGACTGCAGCCTTGCAGGACATCCATTTAGATGTTCCTTTAGCCACTATCTCTGACAGCACTCTGACTTTCAGATCCCTTTGTTAAGGCGAAATCGTGGATGTTGCCCCACCAGATTCCCCTATATCCTTTCTCAGTGAGCTACTCAGTGTCACTGAAACAGAAAGTAGAAAGTTAGTTGTTTGTCAGTGTGTGTCTGAAACGAATGAAATTGTCCCAGCAAGCCAAAGGAAGTGCTTGCTGCGTTGTGTTCAAGCTGGTGCTATATCCTCTTTCTCGCCTTGCACAGTGTAACTCTAGATCTCCGAGTGCTATTATACTGGGGGCGGGTGAGTACTAGTACTAGCTAGTATGCGAGTATGCATTGGTCGGTTCACCAGCAGCTGTCCTCCAACGGGTAGCACTAGTACTTTGTACTCGAGTACTCACTAAGGGCTGCTGGTAGTGTACTCGGTCGAGACAGTGATAGTACCGTAGCTGCGCTACGAAGTGGTCGTGGAGCTGTACCAGTTGTAAAATTGATAGATACCTGGCAATTGAGAAGGTCGGACCTCGGCCCAGCAATTGCCTCTTGGATATTCTTGCTTCCAACTCTATTGCTTTCCTGTTATTAGTGCGTCGCAAAGCTGTCGCATATATGGACATCTACGGTTGGTGCACAGTTGGTTCCCCTGGACTTGCGGTGGCTTATTAGCTCACAATCCTCCCATCCCACCAAAGCACAAAGCAAAAAGCAACTGCGCCCCACACAAAACCCGAACAGCTTACGCTTACCCCATAGTCGTACCGTAGAATCGAATCAAGCCCTAAAGCTTTTTGCGTGATTCTAACAATACTACTACCACAGTAAGAGACACCACAAACTATTCCAGAACTCCAGTATTGCTTGCTTCTAGCAAAGAGGCACCATGATGAATGTACCCCCAGGAGAAGGCAAGGAGAGTCCCACAGGTGAGGTTGAACTGGATGGATAATCTTTTGCAATAGCAACTTCCGCCGATGGACCATGCTAGCTAGCTCCTGATACCCCCGGGCTTTACTGCTCTGACACCCCGGACCGTCTCTCTAACTCTGACCTCTTTTCTGTGTGCCATGAAGAATCGAGTGAGCGAACTGAACAAACACAAGCAGACGAGCTTAGCCAGCCTGCAAGGATGCCTCAGGACCGAAAGAGAGCCGCCCAAGAAGCCAACTTGGACAGCGAGGACGAAGAGGATGAGCAGCAAGAGGAGGGATCAGCGACCTTATCGGTGGACGCCGAAGAGGGAGAGGAGGACCGAAAGCCAAGCCCCGACAAGCCCGAAGAAGAGGAGGAGGACTCCTCTTCTGAGGATGAAAACTATGTGTTGGACCAGAATCGGTTTCCTGACAAGGTCCGGTATCTGTTGGACGAACAGATTGCACCCGACGCAATCTGGTGGCTTCCTGAGGGAGACGCATTGGCTGTCAACAGGGACGCCTTCTCCATGCAGCTCCTGATCAGGCACTTTCGAGGCAACAAGTTCTCCAGTGTTACGCGAAACTTCAATCGATGGTAAGTCTTTGCTTCTTTCTTTGATCGACCACCAGCCACATCGCCCGTACAAGTGTCGCAAGCTTACTTTTGTTTGATAATCTTTCTTCAGGGGCTTTCGGCGTGTACCGGACGAACGAGTTCCTGAAGGGGTGCTGGGCTATACCCATGACAAGTTCCTGCGCGGAAGACCTGGTCTCCTTAAGAAGTTGAAGAAGGAGGTTTACATCAAGAAGGAGAAGGATGACAAGGACGAAGGAGGGGACAAGAAACAGCCCCGGAAGAAGGCCCGAACTAAGGGCTCGCCTCGCAAGGCGCCACCATCTGCAGCTACCCAAGCAGCACTAGGGGCAGAAGGTCCTGGGCTACGAACCGACCGTAGTGGGTCTCTTGCCCTACAAAGCCAACTGTCGGCAGACCTGGCGTTGTCTTCGGCAGCAACTGCCAATCGAGCAGATCAGATTGTCCCTCCAACAGGTGCTCCCCCCGCTTCGTTGCTGCAAAGGTACGAACAAGAGAACGCTCGGTCTATGCTGGGAGCACTCGGCCGCGAGACGGCTACGAGTGCATCTTCGTCGCTTGCTCAACGCTTGGCAATTCTCCAGAGCATTGGAAGGGACCAACACCCATTGACTGCCGCGGAAGTTCACCGGCTGTCTGCCATTCAGAATTCAGCCCCAGCTGACGCTGGCCTCAGGCTCACGGCTATACAGGACTCCTTTCCCATGAGTGATGCTGCACGTTTGTCGATGCTTTCAGCAGGGACAGACCAGATGGATTCTCTTCAAGCTCGTCGTCTCGCCGCTCTCCAAGCTTCTACTGTAGAACAGCCGGACCCCTGGCTCGCCATGATGGCATCTTCGCGCGGTCAATCGGCGTCGTCTCTACAGCCTGCCTCCAATTCAATGTTCCCCCCGGGCTCTCAACAAGGTGGTTTGAACTCGTCTGCTTTTCGACAACTTCCTGGATCTACTGGAGGCCTTCTCCAAAATGAAGATCTCCTTCAACGGCTTTCTCGGCAGAGACAACTCGACGCGCATCAGCAACTACAGCCTTCCTTCCCAACACTTCCGCAGGGGCGACGAAGCATATCGTCCCTCGACACAACGGACCCGGCCGTCCTCCGGCTGCTTGCGTCACACAATCGAATCCCTGATTCGCTCTCAGGCTTGTCAAACCCATCAGCGGTTTCTGAAAGGTTTGGCCAAGATATCTTCCTGAGAAACCGTCGCTCCTCGCAGCAGCTCGATGCCAGCCAGTTGCGCTCACTTACCTCCCCTACGAACCAACTTCCGTCGCAAGTGTCCACCCTGACGGACTACGCTGGTCGTAACCATGCAGACATCACCGCGCAACTGTTGCAACCGCAGCTTCAGCAATCGCTGCTACACGGGGCTATGAATGCCGGCGAGCATGGCATCAACGGACAGATGATGTTTCGGCCTCAACCTGGAGGAGTCCACCCACGCTTGGGCCGACTTTCCGTGGCTGGTCCCCATGGACAGATAGCCTTTGATGATGAAGCTTTGAGACGAGAACAGATGGAGAGACGAGAAGAAGCCAAGAGAGGAGGCCTGTAGAGGTACAGGCTGGGAAAACGACATGAAATCTTCCGTACGCATTTTTGGCATTATAATTCATAATTTTACTTTAGCTCATATACCAATACTGTAGCCATCTATGACTTGCAGCTGGTTATGGCTTTCGAGCGGACAAGAGAATAGCCGTGACCGGCAAGGTTTCCTCGGTCCAAGTAGACGATTTGGGATCAATCTTGGCTGTCGTGATGGAGACATCGACCAAACCTGCAGCTCTTGCGGCTGCTATCATGGTCTTTGTGGACCAAAAGTGGTCGTATAGCTCAATGGTATGTTCCACTTGACCGGTTTCATCATGCAAGATAGGAAGCTGGGCCAAATGAGCACTCCCTTCTGGTGGAGTTACTTCCTCTTCTGCTATGACTACGGGGTTGATGTGCAGAGTGCGGCCACCACTCTTCAGGCTCTTGGCAACTTGTACAAAGAAATCCTGCAGCATGGTCTCCGTTTCCATGTGGACAATGACAAATCCACTCATCACGACGTCAAAGGACGCAGCAGCCAAACTTTGCGGTAACCTTGTAACACTTCCTTCTATCAGTGTAAGTTGAGAAGAGAGCCCATCTTCTTGACAAAGACGACTGGCTTCCTTCAACATACTAGTGGATTGATCAATACCAGTCACGTGGAGCTCAGCCGACAGGTTTAGTTTCAACAGCTTGCGTCCTAAAACGGCGTTGCCGCAGCCCAGATCCAATACAGCAATACTACCGTCGTCAGCCTTTCTGCTCTCTATCACTCCATTCATCTCTTGGAAGAAGGAATAGTCAATGTATTCATTGTAGAGAGAGGCATTGGCTCGAGATTGGACATACCTAGAATACGCAGCGTCCTCGTACTGAGATTTGACTGATGGCAGCTTGTTCAATGTCTCCATTGTTTTCTTCTCTTTGTAAATTATATTTAGAATACTCACTTTTTGCTGCAATTGATAAATTGTTTGGACGGTCGAGTGGTGGTTTCGATTCGATTCGCATCAACTTTTGAGCACAGCTAACCAATGCCGGATGCTCCGAATTCGCTTTACCGGGTGGTACTAGTACTGTAGAAGTCCACAAGTTGATCGTCTTCTTGTTGCTTGTCTCTGTCAATCCCAGTAAAATTATTTAGTATTCTATTCTCACTTTTTGCTTAGCACGAAATTTTTTTTAGCTAGTACTATAAAGGTTGAGCCCCCGCAGGGGGCTTAGAACCACAAAGATTGGGCCCCTTGGGGCCCAACCACCAGGGTAGCTAGCTAGTGGGAGTGGAACACATGGCCTTCTGGCTTGCCCTCAAAGCACTGCAGCAGAACCTCCCGCATCTTCGGCTTTGTCTTTTGGATGGACTTTCCCAGGACCCTGGCCCATTCTTCATGTCTGCGAAGCTTGTGGAGGAGTCCAACAGCTTGGCTTTGGTCAGACCGCCTTGCTTTGGAGCAGCCTTTCTCTTGCCAGCCGCATGTTGATTGATGGCGGCCATCTGAACCAGCTGACCCCCCTCTCTGAGCAAAGCTTTGGCATGCTGGGGCCTCAGCCTACCCCTGAGACCAGCGTTGCTCTGTCGCATCATGTTGAAGTGCATTTGATCGAATGATTCCGCAGCGAGCACGGCAACATTGTCCGTGTTGGCGGCGCTACCATAGTGCTCGATTGCGTGCTCGACTGAGTTATCAAAGACTTCTTTCTGCTTGGCACTCATTTTTTTTGAAGGATCCAACCACCGGTTGACAACACTGACCTGATAGAGGGACATGGGTAACTGTTCTGTGTTGGCCTTGCTTCAGGCCACTTCTCACAACCAAAGACACATGCTCATTGGTGCCACAGTGGGGGCATGGAGTCTTGAGTCCACTGGTCTCTTTGCCTGTCTTTGGGTCGATGCACTTGTACTTTGAATGCTTTTCCAGGATGCTGCGGTCAAATATCTCAGGCATGAAGAAGAAAATTCGAGTGAAAGCTGGGATCTCGAATTCCATGGCTGCTAGAGACTGTTCCTTTGCCTTCCATGGCTTGTCGACGACCTTCCCGGGTTTGAAGAAACTTGTAATTTGGGACTGGCCTGCAGCTTCGTCCTTCCTTGCAAGGGCCCTCATAACAGGGGATGTGACTCCGTGGACTGCTCCCTGCGGGAAATGGTTCTGCAGATGCCGATCCAATTTCCCCGCCACTAGAGGAGTCCTAGCTTTCACAGAGGCACGTCCTGTCTTGCCAACAGCCGCCAAGAACACCATGCCGTTGTCGTCCACCTTGGGGAACCGTCCACTGGAGTACAGGTCCCGGATGTAGTGGTCGATACCAGCCGGCGCCTCTTTCGTACTCGCACTCATCGTCTTCGGAGGATTGCGATGAAAGCGGCTATGTCCTCGGCTGCGGTGAGGAGTACCTCTGCGGCTACTGAATCTGCGGCTACTGAATGCGGTAAGTACACCTCTGCAAAGTACCTCTGCGGCTACTGAATACGGAAGGGATGACCTCGGTTTTATTGTCTTGCTTCACTATCTGGATCAAATTCGAAATTCGAAATCCACTGGATGCATGCTCCGTCGGTCTTTCGAAAACAACACGAAAACAACACGACGAGAGACTGATCGAGCTGACACAGAGAAAAATAAATAAATAAATAAATAAATAAATAAATAATGCACGACTGACGTCAGTCGGCTGTGACGTCAGTCGGCTATGTACGTTTGATTGGCTAGTGGCTCTACAGCGATTCTACAGAGGTAGTGTACGGATTGGGCTGATGCCGGCACGACGGTCCTGCTGTACTTTCTGTACCAATCGTTTGAGGTTCTGATATGCGAACTACCGTAGGGGGGTGCCTCAAATCAATCTTATCTGTTTGAATATATCCCCAACCACCTGAATGTGGTAGGGGATGAGCAAACTTGCCCATGGCTCTGTGTTGAATTTGTTAGAGCGTTTTTGTAAAAATTGTGTGCCCTAAGCCAATCTTTTACTTTGGCTGTTTTTCTCTATTGGATTTGATTGGATTGCCCCATATTGACATGATCTTGCTATAGTCTAGTAGCTCCACTTGACCTAAAAGTGGAATCAGTACTATTTGGAATCCAATTCAATCCAATTCAATGCAATCCAATGCAATGCAATCCAATGCAATCCAATTAAATGTATCTTCCGGAAAAAATACGAATTTCGTCTTTTTAACTGATTTTGGCGAGTCACACTCCATTACAATACAGGGCTATTGCAAGATTTGCCCATCCCCGAGATCGGATCATCCAGGATCGGACCCATGGAACCGAGTACATGCAATCATTCTTGACAAAAGTAAACGAGCTGTTGGCGGACAAGGAAATTCAGGATCATATCCAAGCTTTATCGATCATTCGAATATCATACTAGCGGATGTCATCGAGAATGCTGTTTCCACTACGCTGTGCAGCGAATGTTCAGTAAATCACAGAGACCTCATGGTTGCGTACAAGTGCTCTCGCTGCCGTGAGTGCTTCGCGCAAACAGCACGGACCGTTGGCGAAGTGCTGACTTCTCCTTCTTTGAACGCCGTTGGAGTTGGAAGCAGCATTGGAGGCTTCTTCAAAACCGTGGGGGTTCATTCTGTGAGGTCGGGCGATCCTCCATGGTTTGAGCCCAGTTTGTGTCGAAAGCTTGAAAGCGACCCAGAATAGCCAAGCTCTGAACAAGGTCCCAATCAAAGTTGAAAGCCAGGGAGCGCAGAAGATCACACCGGAGAAGATTGGAAGCAGTTGAGCCGCCACGTCGTGCTGGGTACGGGCTCGATCTCAGACGGGCAGTTTAGCTCGGATAGATGCGACTAGCGCCGAAAATTGTGCGGCTGAATGCCAACGTGACGAACTATCCAAAGAGTAAATCTAGTGCATATTGCTTGGAAGTGAAGGCACCATGGCTTCCAGAGAACACCGTATCGTTCATGCCGTAGCTGGTACCGTACCGGTATCTAATACCGGGGCCGGGCTGTTCAGAAAGCGATGGCTGATCAAGCATGTATTGGATCTAAAACTGCAACCGAATGTCTCATCTTTTGCTTGAATGGTTTCTGGTTGCTGCCTGCTTGCATGGAAGCACTCTGAGCGCCACGCCCGTTCGAATCAATCGGGTCGATCACGGTTGTGGGCATAATCTGGTTTTTAAAAAAATCGAGTTCTACTAGCAAATTGTTGTGTTCCGTTAAAGTCTTCACCAAAATTCGTCGTGCCGATTGGTGCGCTCAACCATCCTTTTTTTGCACACGGTGTTTGCTGCCTGGGTACAGTGTAATTCTTCGAAAGACAGTACCTGTCGATCCCTGCATCTTAAAAATTAGTAGCCTCGAATTTCCTTCGTCAATCGTCTCGACTCCACGTTTGCCTTCCGATTCGATTCGATTCACGTAATTTCATTCCTCGTTTCCAAATCCACCGGTCGCCACTATTATTCAAATGCGCCCACTCTCTCCATTCTCATTCTCATTTTCATTTGTTGTAATTTGTCATTGTCACTCTTTTTACTTTCCTGTTGGTCGTTGTTGCTGGTGTTGCTGTAGTTCTTGCTGCTGCTGCTGTGCATCATTGACGACATCCCACAGTACCTTGCACAAGAATACTTGATCGTCCGAGAAATCCTTTGGCAATTTATCGGGATGCAAAAAGAATCGTAATTTTCGCACGACCTTTTGATGATTATTATGATTGCCACCACCACCACCGCCAGTGTTGAGATCAAACATGTGACTGGTATCCCATTTTTCAAAATAGGCATGGGAGGGCACGTAAGTGGCATGAGGCGGGAATACTTTTGGAATGGTTCGTATGAGTTCCGCGAGTGGTTTGAGTTGACAATATTGTGGTGGTTGTAGTGCCCAATCTTGAATGACACGTCGTTTAATATCGGCTTGTCTGGCACTGCTGCTGTTATTGTCATTGTTGTCATGTTGGGGCAGTGGAGCACTATTGCTGCGAGTCGGAGGTTTGTGGTGATGGTGATGATTATGGGTTTGGTGTGGCATGGTCGGTTGTGAGAAGGTTCGTGCCGTATTGTTCGTACTGGTAGGTCTTGGAACGGGCGGCGGTGGTTTTGCCCTGGGTGGTGGCGTATGAGCTCTGACATGATGATGATTGTTGGTATGATGATTGTTGGTATGATTATTGGCGTGCATTCCTCGGTTATTGTTCATGTTCATGTTCATGTTCATGTTCATGGAAGGGTGCTGCTGTGGACGTGGTTGTTGGGTATGATTCCACTGTGGCTGATGAAGATGAGTAGGCCGAGTTGCAGTGGGTTGTTGTATTGGTACCGGTACTCGTGGTGGAGGCGGCGGCGGAGGAGCTGGTGCAGGAGTTGTATTTTTGTTTTGGATGAATTGTGGTTGTCTGGCATAGGGATTATTGTGAAACGAGAGCGGAGGAGGACTATGGGATCGATTCTGATTTTGATGGTTATTTTGTGGAATGTGGTTGTGGTGGTGATGATGATGGTGCGTGGGAGGCCGGGTCGGACTCATGGACCTCGCTTGCATGAGTGGAGGAGTGGGACTCTGAGAACGTCCAAAAGTGTTTGGCTGTGGATAAGAACTTGAAGGCACTGGTGATGGATAAGGTTGGTTTTGAGATTGACTTTGAGGTTGCTGGTGGTGTTGCTGGTGGTAAATAGGTACAGTCTGTTGGCCGAGCAAGTCTGGGAAGAGTGGATTTTGAGCACTGCCACTACTATTGGTGGGTTGAGTAGTGTTGTCAAAGGAGAGTAGATCCAAGACCTGATCTGGTTGGCTTTTGGGTATACTACTGGTAGACTGGTGTGCAGTACTTGCATTTGGTGTAGAAATGGGTGAATGAGCAAAAGCAAAGGTAGCATTGTTGGTGTCATGTTTTGCATTTTGAATGTGTTGCTGGACAGTCTTGAGAGTGGTAACCCAATCTCTAATGGCTTGAGGATCCTGAATGCTTCTGAAGATGACGTCTTCTTGCGCTTGAAAGAGTGAAATGGCGAATCTGTTTCTGTCTTCTCCACCTGCACTACCTGCATAGCTTGAAAAGTTTGCTTGAGCGTGAATGTTGGTGTCATAGTCGACCCATTGGACTTGGCTGAGTGGGATCTGTTGCAAGAGTTCCAAGGCGGCAGTTCCCGTGGTTTCACTAATGACTTGTCTCCAAACACATAGCGAAGTTTCCGTCATTGAATGCTGTCCCTTGACTAAGGACACCAAGACTCGTTTCCACGCTTTGCTCAACTTGGAACGACGCCATTGCTCCAACCACCCAAGCGCAATCTCGCGGGAACTAGGATTCACCACGAATCCTCGTTCGTCTAGTTCATGGTTGTGGTGTTCCAGCATGCCAACAGGAATTGGGGGTTGCTGATGTTGATGTTGATGGTGCTGAAAATGAGAGGACATGCTACCGTAGTACTCTTATTCGCTGCAGTGCTTTATATTTATGCATACGACTGTACGGTAGAAGCTATGGCTTTGGATCGCAAAATGAAACGGATACCCTTGGCAGCGGTTTCGGTCGTCTTCGCCGTTTCCTCTTTCGTCTTCAACTTGTGGGATCCACGAGAGACGGGTCCAGTCCACTCGCGAAGATCTTAAGATCCACTCGGAAGTACCAACCTTGAAATGAAACCACAAACTCTATATCTTTGACGTCACAGTGGCATACTTTCAGTACCAAGTCAATCCCGTGGGAATATCTTTGGATCCAAGTAAGTCCAAGTCCCGGAAAATCTTTGGATCCAAGTCCAAAAGATCGTTGCTGCAGCAGTCATTTTTCTTTGGAAGGAACAAAATAAGCTTCATCCATCCTTCTATCGGTACAACCATATACCATTACTATAGCCACTTTGTGATTGATTGATTGATTACTAAAGGATGACAGGAGAAACAATTGGTCTGTTTGGTGGAACAGGTTCCACTGGCAATTACTTTCTGAGGTTGGCCTTGGAAGCTGGCTTCAAAGTCCAAGCGTGTGTCCGAAATCCTGACAAGATTGATAAGGAAATTCAAGACAAGTACAAAGACAAAGACAAAGACCAACTCGTCATTGTTCAAGGCACTTTCACTGAAAAACAAGATATTGCCAAAACCATTCAAGGAGCCACCTATGTCGTCTGCATGGCAGGAGCTCCCATGGGAAAACCAAAAGAATACCCCAAAGATATCATGCTCACCTTTTTTACCACTCTTACCCAGGTCATTCAAGAAAACAATACTAGCAGTACTAGCAGTACTAGCAGTAGTACCAGTAGTACACCCCCAAAGGTCGTTCTCTACCAAGCAGGCGCTTTTTCTCCCACTCCAGACAGACCACTCACCATGATTCACTCCGTATTCAAGGCCGTGGGACAGTGGGTCATGGGACTAGGACCCAACGTCGACGATAATACCCAAGTCATTGCTTACATTCACCAAAACATCAACACGCTGGGATTCAACACCATTGTTTCCAGACCGGGAATGCTCAACGATAAACCCGGGGGAAATGTACAGCTCAAAGCCGATCATTTCTCACCCACCAATTTTGCAATCACATTCAGTGATCTCGCCATTTGGTCTCTCAAGGCCATTCAGGATTCGTCCTTGTATGGAACCTTTCCCTTTGTCGTACCCATTGATCAGGATATTTTGCCACGAAAAAAGGAACCTGCTGCAAGCAATAAGGAAGAAGACGTCGGTGAAACCAAATGACATTGTGTGCAAATATATAATTGTTCTGTCTTGTTTATGATATGAATTCAATACGTTTTTTTACAAGGATGGATGGTCCAGCAAGTTGATTTATTCACGTACCGGTACGGTCTTTTAATTATTAATAGAAAACAAGCAACAACTCAGTGAGCTCTCAATTTCGCTTTCGTGTGGTGCCCTGGCTCGGACGACTTTTGCCAACAACGCGACAATCGAAAAAGTTATTATTAGTGTAGCCAGCTATGTACGTACCGTACGTGCGATCTAGCTAGATGCTTCGGTGTACTACGGTGCTGTAGACGGAGACTCGACTCGATCGGTGCGGCTGCGTATTCCGTTTTAGAACATTGTGGTGTACATGTAGGGTATGGTACCACGGGAGAGACTCGCTCTCACTGCGGGAGTGTTGGTCCAAAGTTTGTTTTTGGATGATGGCTTCGCTCGATCCTGGACCGAAACACGCACTTTTCCTCCCCTACTATTTACTGTACCGGTACTGCCAATTACTTCGATCCAATCATTTTATCATCGAATACTTTCGACTCTGGCTACTAGTAGCTATATAGCTAACTCGTCAAAAAAATTGACGATGGCTTCGTACACCTTGACACTTTTCCTGAAAATTGATCGGCCCCTTTGTGATCCAACACTTAATCCAAATTTCTGGCTCTGGCTACCGGTATCGTATGATAGCTGAAGCTTACGATGTACCTAGACTATTGCATGCTGGGCGAGTGGCGTTGAGTAGACTAATCGACGGGTGCGACCCGACCACCGCCATGGTCGAAGTAAGTTAACTCCCACGATCAAGGGTCACCTTGCGAAGATGGGACACACTCAGTCGGGGTATCCCAATAATGCTACTCTGATTGGCCAGTCGAGTCAAGTCGTGGGTAATACCTTTCAAGCATCGAAGTTCGTGTACTCTAGCTATTAGGCTGCCTTTCTTCCAAAGCTCATAAAACACCGGCAACAATCAACAAACCTTTCGGGACCTTACTATACAACCCACGGCACTACCGTACCACCCACAGAACCACCAACCCTCCTCGTCTTCGTGCATGGGCTGCTCCTCCTCTTCGAGATTCCCCGCCACCTTTCCTGATGACTTCAAACGCAACCACCTCATTCAACGAAACGTCCTGGTGACGGAAGAGGCCATACCCGGCCATGTCGAGTTCTTTCGATTTCGCACTCCAACCAGTTACAAGGGCCGAGCATGGCATTACGGAAAATCGTTTGCTGTGGCGGTCACCACGGAAGGGCTGCACATCTTTGTCAAGAGCCTACTGCTGGGAGGCGCCACTCACGCCAAACTGTTGATTTCTGCTCCATGGTCCGACCCAAGGATCCAAAACGTGGTCTGCTACCCGCGACAAGCCAAAAACAAGAAAAACTCTACAACACTGGCGATCCGCTTCGATGCCAGTTGGTTTCACCAGGACATGTCCGGTCGATTTGAGCTTTGCATGAAAGCAGAGCGAGCACAGCAGTTCCAAAACCACATCCAAGACCAGATCAGGCGACATTCAAGGGAAGCAAGAAGCCTGGAAAATCCAAATATGGGAGTCTTTGATGCAGCAGGTTTGTTTTACCTAGCAAAACGCCCTGGACACGGGTACCGATAACCAAAAAGAATGAATCAATTATAGAACATTTATTAGACAACAATCTACTAGCTGGCTAGTTAGTGCATTTAGCTTGGAAACAAAGCAACGACTTCACCTCAAGGACGATCTGGAATGAAGCCTTGGATCCGCACCGCGCAAAATTAGAGGTAAGGATGCACAGTGGAGCAAAACTAAACTATGGAGGTACGGGAGATCGAATCCCGGGCCTTCCGCATGCAAAGCGGACGCTCTGCCACTGAGCTATACCCCCGCGGTGGCTTCGATGAAAAATGTTAATTATACAATCCTGTCATTGCATTTGTTGTCGTTTGAAAGAATCTGATGTTTCCCAGAGCAAGAGCGTCTTCACCAAAACAAAAGGATCCATGCTACATCAACGCATCATAATCGTGCGGATCGGATGGGGACTCTTGTTCGTTTACTGATACCAGACCATGCTCTAGCTAACCAAGCCGTGCCGTCGTAGCCACCGATCAGGGTCCATGTCCCTACCGTACATCAATCCTTTAGATGAATTGGACGCACGAAATGACGTTATTATTATACTGGACCAGTTCAAAGATTCTTTTGATCCTCCAAGAACAAGGTATCGACGAGGGAGCCCACAACCTGGCCTTAGCAGGAGGGCTGAGATGTTTTGTATTGCCTCGACCTCCGCCGTTATTGTTTCAAGTGTGCGCCAAAGCTGTACTGGGACTCGCTGTTAACGGTACCGGTACCGGTACCGGCACCGGTACCGGTCCCCTGGGCGCACAAGAAAAGATTTCCGTGCACTGCCGATATCACCTCGAGCTCTTACACAGCAATCTCAGTTTGGTTTCCGTACAGCTTCCGCAACCCCCACTGAAGACAGTGAACAAATCCAACAAGGATGGATTACAAGCACTACACCACAGGACCGATCATGTTACCAATCAATACGGTAAGTACCCGAAATTCTGTGAGGAATGGTTGAAAGGGCCCTTCAGCTGGCTACGGTTCCAGTAGTCTAGGAAAGATTTATGGGTGGTTGCAAAATAAATAGATCCTCTTAGCTTATGCGTGGACCCTATGGTACAGTATTGGTACGGTATAGCTACACCAGCCTGACATGGCAAGTGGTGACTTTGTTCTCTTCGGCATTACCTGCCTGGCCAGCCTCTGGATCCTCGACATTGTCACTGTCACAATCAGCTTCTGATACACCTTGGTCAGCAACTACAAACCAGCAAAAGAACTGGATCAAAACATAATTAAACATTCTGAAAGCAGCATGGGGAACCAGGACTGGGTCATAGAACACAACAAGTTTAAAAACCTCCACAGCAAGACTCAAACGCAGGAACCCCATCAGCACTTCCCATTCAACCCAAACCCTGGTTTGTTTGGTTTGATTGCTTTGATTGGTTTCATTGAATTGATTGGTTTGGCTTGAGTTGGAAACCCACTTCTGCACAATCAAGATGCAGAGTCGAAGAGCCATGGCTGCCATCAAAACACCATACAATCCACTGCATAGTTGTTGAATCTGTGCACACACAACACCTGTACCCCACTTGTTTTCACTGAGATTATTGTATACCACACCAATGGAACAGAACTGGATGCTTATTCCCAACACAATGCCAAGAAGCAAAGCCTTCTGTTTCTGGTTTGCCAGGGTCATCATGTTGGGTGTTTTTGCTTCCAATTTGCTTCTTCTATGTGTGGTGTTTTGGTTGCTTCTGTTCGTTGTCATAATTGGCACTGGTACCGTACCTCTGCTGACTGTGTATATACCCAGTAAACTGAGCAATCGGTACTAACTACACGTACCTGGCTGTGTATTCAGCTGGATAGATTTGGTGGGCGACCGGTACATGTACAGGGGGGGCCTCCAAGCCAAAAAAGATGCCCGTGAAATGCACACATAATAAGGGTACAGGTACGAGGTACCGGTGGCGGTGAAGTACCGGTGGCGCTGATTTAGCAGGCTTTCGGGAGAAAAAGAGAAGCTCAGACTCGTGAACCCAACGAACCCAACGAAGGAGTACACGTACTGGTACTGGTACTAGCTAGCTATGTACTCGTACTGGTACCGCCAAGTGCTGAATGTTTGGGGTAGAAACATGAAGTGCAAGTGTGCGCACAAACGTCAGAATCAAGAGTGACTCAACACTACATGTAGCTCTAGAGGCCAGACTCGATCGGCGAGTGATGAGTCGAAGAGTAACAGTCAGAGTCCTCAGTCTTCAACCCCTTTTACTTGCGTAGCCCTTCACTCCGCAATGCACTTTCCTTGCAACAGGCTGCAGGCATGCCGAGGGTTGGATCCACCAGTAGTGGAGTCTTCCTCCAGTCTCAGTCACGCCCACAGCTGCCCACACTCTTATTGACATGGGCAGTTCACTAGGACTGCCACTCATACTGGTAATTCCCTCTACTAATCAGTACTGGAGACCTTTGGAGAGCAGCAGTTGTGAGCAATGCGTCCTGAACCGCTTAGCTTGAAGCCTATACATAAAGAAGGTGATAGGAGACAGATTCTGTCTTTTTGCCGTGGCCTGCGGCCGGCAGCCAACAAAGCAAAATTAAAAGATGTATTTTAAGTGTTGATTGCAATAATTAGGTGGTTCACAGGTAGGAACGAAACTGTATTGCGTGCGGCAGGTTAATGAAAAGGGCCCTGGAATTGTGGACGCAAATCGGCGGATCGGTTGGGGATTCTTCGTTGCTTCTTTTGCGATTTGCGGATACCAGACCATGCTCTGATAACCGACCGTAGTAGCCTAGCCTACCAGTCACGGCACATCTCTTGCTTGAGATGAAGTAGATGATTCCAAGGATTCTCACGTATGATCCACCATAAACAAAGTAGCAAGGAATCTCGAGCCTGAGGTGTTCCTTGCGTTGTGCCTCCGTGCCGCCTCTTTTTTTAAGTGGGACTGCACCTTAATCCATCCTTGTGGTAAGATTTCTATTTCGTGCCCGAAGTGTGACTGCTCCAATTAAACTAGGGGGTCCAAGCTTCCAAGCCCTGCTCTGTGGTTGGCTCCTTTGTTTCTGGCCGATTCAGCATTGAACTTCGCTCAAGCAGCTATGATGTGCCTTCGAGGCTCTCATGTTCTAGCTGCTACATGCAATGAGTTCCCGGCGTTGGGACGATCGTGGCGCTCTTTTAAACTCTTCAGCCAGTCTTTGTCCTTTGATCCTTCTCCAACAACTACCTTCCTTGCTTCCTTTCATTCTTCCATTGTGTTGTCGGTCTACTCACTTGGCTGTACGGCTTGCATCCTTGCCCCTTCCACTCAGCCTATTTATCTCCCTCAATCAAGGTGATGATACTTTGGTTCCATTGAGATCACTCGAGCTCCAGCTCAAATAGTTCAAAGCAGCCAGTGCCCTTCACATAGAAGAAGAAACCGGAAGGTCAAAGGTAACCTTGAGACCAGCTCTCAACTCAACCTAGCGCCTGCGCATTATTGTTGGAAATAGGAAGTGACCGAGTCTGTCCGAGAAAGGAATCGCGACTGGGATAGATTTAAAGAGCCAAAGAACTCTGCTTTTGGGACGTTTTCAATCAAGATTCAAAAGGCCGAAGCCCCCTACTGTTACGAAGGGAGGAAGGCGACAGCTGCTTTAATCAATAGGAGGAGCTTCTGGTACCGACAATTGTTATAAGTGTATTATCAGTTCTTGGCTTGCTTTCTCTGGATCATTGGTATCAACAACAAGATCATCATTCTCATCATCAGCTTCTGTTTTCCCCTGGCCAACAGCAAAGCAACAGCCAAAGAATAGGATGGAGACATACAGGAATATTTTGATTGCAGTATTGGTGACGGTAACCAGAGCTGTGTCATAGAAGACTATGAGTTGAATGATTTCCACTGCAACGCTCACAAGCAAGAACCCCATCAAGACAGCCCAATCCAGTGACAAGTTGGCCCGAGGGGTTTGGTTCCCTTGACTTGAGTTTGAATCCCGCACAATCAAGAGGACAATCACAATGCAGAGTTGAAGGCAAATGACTGCAATTGAAATACCATAAACTCTGCTGCAAGGTTGTTGAAACTGTTCTGGTTCCATCCCCCACTTCTTCCGTCGATCTTCTTGTACCGCCATAGATACACCCACACCAAAGGAACACAACTGGATGATTGTTCCCAACAAAATGCCGGAAAGCACGGCCTTCTGCTTCTTGGCTCGCATTGCCTTCTTGCCTTGATTTACTTCCATTTTGCTTCCACCCTTTTTTATGTTGCGGCCTTGGTTGTCAGCAAAGTTTGTCACCGGTACTGGCTGACCAGCCAGCGGGATAGATCTCGTGTAGGCTACCGGTACCCTTACAGCCTCCTTAACAAAAAAGATGCCACAGTTCCCGCATGCAAAAGGGTGGCGCTGATGATGTGCCGGTAGCAGAGCAGCAATAGCTGTCACAAGCGTGAACTCAACGAACTCAAAGAATGGCGCTTGTGCTACTAGCTAGGGTACAGTCGTAGTTAGCCGAATACCAGGAAAGCATGGTTTTTAAAAGGTGTACTGCTCGGTTGGTACTGTACCGACGCGAGTGGAGCTCCAAATCGCGAATGAATTATATGTACTCCGGAGGAATAGTCCGTGGAATTAGAAGGGTAAGTGTGCGTATTGAGTGAATCAACGAGTCTGTCCTCAGCCCCCTTCAGACTACATCATGTATGCATACGCGTACTTCCATTTCAACTCGCCCACCACTCGGGCATGCACTCTCCACCATGCCAAGCCAGCAGGTGGTACCTATGCTGAGGGTTTGACCCGTCTTCCTCTCCAGCTCTTCCTCCACTCTCAGCCACTGCCACAGCTGTCCACGCTCAAATTGAGTTCCCTACCAGCCAGTAGGACTTTCTAGTAGCTAGTCATAACTAGCTAATCATTGTGACCAAACAACTAGCTAGGTACACCTCATTGTGTACCAGTAGTGTCCGAATGATAGTGCTAGCTAGAGTTGGGGACACCAACCCAAAGCTGTGGGAACACAAACACAGAACTGAGCAGCCAGGGAGAGATGGTGAGCAGTACTGGTATCTCGCAGAGAGGGCCCATGGTCATCTTCCTCTGGTTGACTGTCCGAACATGAGTTCATTACTGCTCTGGCTTGGCCTCCTGATCATGAATTACTCCTGGCGGCTGTAAAATAAAACACAGGTGAGCCATAGAGAGTGTATAGTATAATATATATATCCTTTTAGCTTAGGAGTGGATGGCACTCTCTTGGTTGGACCCTAAGGTATTCGTAGAATTCTGAAGCAAGAGCAATTGAGTTTTTCTTGGTTGCTACACCAGCCTGACATGGCAAGTGGTGATTTCGTTGTCTCCGGCATCACCTGCCTGGCCGATCTCTGGATCATCAGTATCAACAACAAGATCATCATTCTCATCGTCATCTTTGGTCTGTTCCTGGCTAACAGCAAAGCAATAGCCAAAGAATAGAATGGAGACATACAGGAATATTTTGATTGCAGCATTGGTAACCAGAGCTGTGTCATAGAACAATATGAGTCGAAGGATTTCCACCACAACACTGGCAAGCAAGAACCCCATCAAGACAGCCCAATCCAGTGACAAGTTGGCCTGGGTTTGATTGGCTTGGCTTGAGCTGGAACCCATGTTCCGTACAATCAAGAGGGCATTGACCAAGCAGAGACGAAGACCCATGGCGGCAATCAAAACACCATATAATCCGCTGCATAGTTGTTGAATCTGTGCTGGTTCTACGCCCCACTTATCATTCCATTGAGCTTGTTGGACACCCCCACCGATGGAGCACAACTGGATGCTTAGTCCCAACAAAATGCCGCAAAGCACAGCCTTCTGTTTCTGGTTTGCCAGCATTGTCATGCTGGATGTTGTTGTTGGATCCTGGCCTGGCCTTGCCTTGATTTTGCCTTGCTCTGATTTGCTTCCCTTTTGATTGTCTATGCTCTTGTTGCTTCTTGTCAGTGTCAGGAAGGCAGAATGCATTCAAACTTCGACTACCGTACTTTGCTGACACCCTGGCTATACCGGTGCATAAGGATCTAGTAGGAGCCTCCCCGGTACATACATGTGCATACCTTGTTACGCTAACTTGAAATGTACCGGCGGTGGTTACCTTTATCGTGCCGGAACGGAACAGCACGAAATGAACGAAACGCGCTTGAGCCTCAAAGAGGTCTCCCTGTCTCCCTGCCGACTGCCGACCGCAGCCATTGTCGTGCGTGACTGTCACTTTCCTGATTTTGAAAAAAGTGGGATTGAAAGGTCTCAAAGTCGTAAGTCCTACAAAATCAACAATCAAGAAACGGTTGAAGTTGATTAAGGAGAGGTGCGGAATTTGCTCTAAAAAAAGGCGACTCCTCCAGTAATCAATATTCTAGGCTGACGCGCCAAGTGGAATGTGCTTGAATGGGCTCATAGCCTAGTACAAACTCATCAAGAGGAGGTACTACACCTCCTCACAAGTCAAGTCATTACAAGATAGATAGAGTTAGTTAATCGGCTGAAGTATACATTGAGTCAACCTATTCGTCCTATCCGTCAGCCCCTCTTAGGGCCAACCTCACTGTAGGCTAACAGTCCGGACAGGTCCGAGCCATCGGAATCGACCATGGCAGACCCAGGCACCGGACCAAAAACCTACAGGTCCCTCTACGATGACCCAACGCTCAATCCTCTTGGACCTACCTTCGACGACGCCCAAGATCGATCTTACCGCATCATGCTACAGTGGAGGGCCATCAACGTACCGACGCCTACCGCCGAGCTCCACCAAGAGATCCTAGATGACTTCACTGCCCCCATCGGAGGTGTAGCAGTGATGGTCCAGGACGGGCAAACACCAGGCGGAAGACTGCATGTACTCCATGGCTTCCTTCGACATCCAGGAGACCCAGGAGCACCTGCTGCCCCCGAGAGACGACAAACTTTTTGCTACGTGGATGAGGTCCTGGGCGTGGATATCCAGACCGTGGGCTTCATGGAGACACAACTGGATGTCACAGCCCAAACCATCATCTCTTCCACACCCGAGCGACACATGGAAGCTTTCAACGACAACCCCAATGTGGACCTACTCGGACCATTCACCGACGCCGACGCCAACACACAGACTGTGGTGGTCCGAAAGGCAATGTTCATCCCATTCGAAATGGTGAGCCTACTAATGGGCAAGCGCTTCACAGCCAGGAGAGCCTTTGAGGTGGTGTACGCACACTCGCATGGCAACAACAACGATGCACACTATCTCCCGCTGCTGACTTTCTTGATGATGGCATCGACCAAGGCCACCCCACAATCAACTCATTCGAGAGTCATGCACAACACCGTGGGAGTCAACACCTTGGTGCCAACACCCCAAGTACACAACCACCGACGCAGCAACGTACTACTTCGTCAGCTGACAGGGCTAAACCCCGTCACCACTACTCCACATGACCCAGCACTACAACAGATGGCCCAGGGAATCCACGATTTGGTAGCAGAGTCGCGACTAGCACGCGATGATGTGGACAAACGTCGAACAGAAGCCAGCCGCCCTAAGGAGGCCCGCGAACGGTTCAAGGAACGGGTGACCGACCGCCTACTCCTGCTCACGGGAGCACAAACGGATGAAGAGCTCCCACCCATCTACCACGAACTAGCCGGACGAACAACCGGCACGTCAGAACGAATGCTCATCCAGCATGAGACCGATACCGTAGCAGGCCAACTAGGATTTAATGCTCCCCTCATCTCCCCACAACAAACCATCGCCCTGAAAAGCTGGAAGCTACAAGGCGACGCATTTTACGCCATCGGGACCGGTTTGTTGCCCTTTAGCATCACTCCACCAGGAGCAATGTCGAATGAGGGACAACGCCAGCTCGCAGAAGATACCGCCCGAGCCGACCAGTACGACATGAGTGGGGATCCGGTGAGCAACAGTATAAGCGCAACAGATGCGAAGCAGATGAAGAACCCAAGTGGATACATCCCTCAGGATTGGACCGAAGCAACGTCACAGCTCAAGTGCTACGCCCCCATCCTCGGAATGATATTCGGACACGAGCACGCTAACGTGACAGCCTACCAAGCGTTCTTGTTGGAGTACGAGCGAATCGCCCCACCACTACAGGCCGCGTTCAATCGCACGTATGGCCAGCGACTCGCTCCGGCTGTCATGGTTCTGCACGTTCAACTGGTGTACAGAGCCTACTTTGTACGACAGATGGCGGTACGCACTACCACCAGCCTTTCAGGCCCCAATCTACTGGCAGGACTGTCCGCTTTTGAAGAAAGTAACAACTTGAGCTGGGCGCCTTCCGTCGACAACATACCGGCTCTAGTCAGGCTTCGCGGCAACCCAACCGGAACTAGCGGTGGAAACGGTGGACGAGTTAATCGTCCTCCACCGGCCAACAACAACAACAACAACAACAACGATGGTGCCGGAGCTCAGGCCGATCGAAACAACAACGCTCGGCAGACCATCCGAAATCCCAACCGGGATCCTCGCTACGTGGGAAATACTCCACTAGCCAACAACATACGAACCAGACGGGTACGTGATGCCATCGTCCTTGCCGGTGAAAATCCGCCCCAAGTCTAAAGAGGTGGCAACCGGGTTGACTGTTGCGTCTCGTGGCACATCACGGGCAGATGCTACAACACCTGCCAACGCGTCAATGACCACGTTGCCAACACACCGGAAGAAACCACCAACCTGCACAATTGGTGTCTCAGGGCCTACGCCTGAGACACCGGCAGGCCAGATCGTTCCCAACATCGTGAACGACTAGCCGAGCCTGTGACACCGAAGGTGTCGCCAAGGGCTGCCCCCCATAGTTTGAATCATAGTAGAAGTCATTTTAATGTACCTGCTGCTAGTAGTCAACTAGGTGAGTTACCCAGCGCGATTGCTCCGTCAGCTCTAGTAGAACAGAACATGTCTACGCCCTCTGTCCAGCCCACTTCGACGTCTCCACAGGTTCAGCCAACACGCAACCCAACTAGTGCAGCACCGAATGCACATGCCATACAACCGGCAAACCAACCACGAGAGACGTCAACCGAGACCGACCACACCACGGCAAGAGCAACCGAGCTGGAGCCACGGGACCAACGACCGCCAGCACGGATACCCGCAAATTCTACACCAACGACCAACGCCCAACACGATGGGCTCGACTCGCACGAGAGTCGCCACAACAACAAACCGCAAAGGCAGTCCGAGACTGCCACGCCACAACAACACACAACCAACGCCCCAGACGAACTCGATCGACTGGTAGCTGCCGCCTCTGACCGCTTCAGGAAGGCCGACAATTGGTCCGCCTTCGTGAAGGAGTCAAGAGACATCGTCAGTGATTTTCACGTGGATGTGGCCGACATACCCCATCCAGCAGGCCCTCTACTGGACGAGTTCAGACGCAAAGGTGCACCAGTCACGATGGCAACAGCCCCATGGACCACCGAACGGATAGAGGAAGCACTGAAGCGAGGACCACACAAATCAGCCCGAGAACACACCGAATTCCTGCGAGAAGAATTTGTGGGAATGATCAACAAAGGGCACTGGACACTACTGCCCTACAACTTGATCAAGGATCAGCTTCCGGATCTACGGCTGAGCCCACTCGGCGTGGTGCCACAGCGAGAGAGACGACCGAGAACAATATGCGACTACACGTTCTTCGGAGTCAACGGGGAAACTGAGGAAACAGCACCAATGGAAGCCATGCAGTTTGGCAAAGCCTTGCAGCGAGTGATGACCAAAGTGCACCAAGCAAACCCACGGCACGGGCCGGTGTTCATGTCAAAAGTAGACATAGCAGATGGCTTCTACCGGGTATGGATTCAAGCCGACGACATCCCAAAGCTGGGGATGTTGTTTCCAGCCAGGGACGGAGAGGAGCCAATGATTGCATTCCCTCTCGTGCTACCAATGGGCTGGAAGGAGTCCCCACCGAATTTTAGTGCTGCAACCGAGACTGTAGCCGACTTGGCCAATGCCAACATAGCCGACAACACACATCAACCGAAGCCACACCGTCTCGAGGTCGTATCCGAAACGCCACCTACTGAAGACGCAAGTGCGAGCCCCAAAGCAGTCAACGAGCCACGGCCGCAGGGCACCACCTCCTTGCCACAACCCAATCACGCGGCACACCCGGTAGCCCACGGCAAGAGACCAGTGCACTACTGGGATGTCTACGTGGACGATTTTATTGGGCTGACACAAGGGAATCGATGGAAACGGCGGCGAACAAAGAGGATTCTCTTACACGCCCTGGATCAGATATTCAGAGGTCTGGATCCCAATGACACGGAGCACCGGCAAGAACCAGCATCCGTCAAAAAGCTAAAGAAAGGAGACGCATGCTGGGCTACACGGAAAACAATCCTAGGCTGGATCATCGACTCCATTACCAACACAGTGGAACTCCCACAGCACCGGAAGGACCGGTTGCTGGAGATCCTGGACAGCGTAAAACCCACGCAGAGGCGAATTGCGACTCGGCAGTGGCACAAAGTCCTTGGAGAGCTACGATCGATGGTCATCGCCATTCCAGGAGCTAGAGGACTATTCTGCACCCTGCAAGAGGCCTTCCGGCACGAGGAAGCAACCGGCCACCGTCTGCGTCTCACCAGACAGGTCCACGACTTCCTAGCCGACTTCAAGTGGCTAGCACACGACATTAACAGCCGTCCGACTAGGCTAGGTGAAGTCGTACCGAACCGCAACCCATCTACAATGGGAGCTTGTGACGCCTCGGGGAAAGGGATGGGAGGAGTGCATTTTATACCAACAATCCACGGAACAAAACCCATCCTTTGGAGAGCGCGATTCAACAAGAAAGTGGAACGGAACTTGTCGTCCTTCGAAAATCCACGTGGACCGATCACCAACAGTGATCTAGAGCTCGCCGGATCTGTGGCGCACATAGACGTCCTAGCCCAGGCTTGTGACATCCGAGAGCACACCGTCCACAACTGTTATGACAACACCCCTACCGTCTTCTGGCAACGCAAGGGATCAACAACAACAACAGGCCCTGCTGCCTACCTCCTCCGAATGCAGTCACTACACCAACGCCACCATCGGTATCTACCGCTTCACGACTACATTCCTGGCTGGGCCAACGTCATGGCTGACATTTGTTCCAGAGCGTGGCATTGGACCGATGCAGAACTTGTCTCACACTTCAATACTCATTTTCCACAGGCAACCTCTTGGACGCTATGCCACCTTCAAAACACGATGCATTCCAGTCTGATCTCGGCCTTGTTCAAGAGGCGATCAGAGCCGGAGTCACTTCTAAACGAGCCAGAGCCATGGATCATCATTGGGAACGATGGGACCAATTCTGCGTGGAACACGACATCGATCCGTTCCTCCGATCAATCTACGACCCAGTCCCCATTCTCCAGGTCTTCGGACAACGCTACAGAGATGGCAGAATCGCCCCCAGTGGTCGACCAGTACGGGCTAGAACAGTGGAGGACGCACTTAGAGCCGTGGGTCAGGCGTTCTCCCGCCTGGGGGCCACGGACATCAGACGCATTCAACGACAAATCCGAGCCTACAAGAAGCGCGACACTCCACCAGCAAGAGTAAAGCCTCTACCCATCACGATTGTGCTTTACATTCTACAACAAGCTTACCACCACAACCAGCACGACGACCGTCGGATCATCGCCAACATCATCGCTGTGGCCTTCTTCTTCCTCTTACGACCAGGAGAATACACAGGAACAACAACCGATGACACCCCCTTTGCTATCCAAGACGTCGCACCCTACTTGGGCCAACGACGACTGGATCCACTACTGGCACCGACAGCCGAAATCGAGGCAGCAACCACTGTTGCCTACACTTTCACCACGCAAAAGAACGGAACCACCAATGAGGTTCTTACCCACGGACGCAGCGGTCATCCACTCTGTTGCCCCGTGACTGCCACAATACGCCTACTCCTATACCACAGGGCACAACGCACAGCCAGCAATCAACCACGGTCGAGTAAGGACACCCCGATCGCGTCCTACTACCGCAACAACCGCCGAGTGCCCGTGAAGGCCAAAGATGTCACTGACATCATCCGCACCACCGCTACGCTACTATTCCATCGCACTGGCATTCCAGCCGCAGATTTGAGCGCCAAATCACTGCGTGCTGGAGGAGCAATGTCGCTCCTTTGCGGCAAGGTCGATGGCGACATCATCCGCATGCTAGGCCGATGGCACAGTGATGCCATGATGCGGTACCTGCATTTGCAGGCACAACCCATCATGAGACAATTCGCCAATGTCATGTTCAACAACGGCACCTACACCTTCCTTCCCAATGAAACGGTGCCCATCCACGATGACATTGCCGTAGGAGAATGAATGCCAAGCCGACGCCTGGCGCTCACCCTGCCCACTAAGTCTTCACGCACCTCCAACACGCCAGGACTTAACTCCAAGAACGAGGCAACGCCTACCGACTCGACAACCATCCTCCGTCCATTTTTTACCCAAAAACCAGCGTTGGCAACCAACCAACGCCACCACAATCAACACTACGTATTCATCATGCAAACCCTCCCGCATCAACGCCTTCACACCGTCAATTCCCACCCATCATCCACCGATGGCGGAACAAGTGGCGGAGGCGGAGGCCGCTATGCCGCGAAGGAAAAGTGGGGCCCTTAGTAAAGTGCATTTGCCACCATCCTGCTCACTGCCTAGCACCTCCAACAATCAACCATGAGGCAGCAGAGGCCTAGAGTAGCAGCCCCGTAGGGGCTGATATTCTAGGCTGACGCGCCAAGTGGAATGTGCTTGAATGGGCTCATAGCCTAGTACAAACTCATCAAGAGGAGGTACTACACCTCCTCACAAGTCAAGTCATTACAAGATAGATAGAGTTAGTTAATCGGCTCCCACCACTCCCTCCCAGGCCGCTATGCCGCGAAGGAAAAGTGGGGCCCTTAGTAAAGTGCATTTGCCACCATCCTGCTCACTGCCTAGCACATCCAACAATCAACCATGAGGCAGCAGAGGCCTAGAGTAGGGGCTGCTACTAACCACACCTGGAGTTTTCTCTCAAAAGTAATGAGCCGTCCAGCTTGCGTACGTGTAGTCTAAATAATGGCGCATCACGTATCTTACTAGCTAGCAAGCCACCACCTAGCTGGTTAGTATGTTACACGACCAGTTCTCACTAAGGAATCGTTGCACGCACATCTCCCCATTGATCAAGGAAAGTGTGCGTGAGTGAATGACATTGACACAGGAACCGTCATTGTCGCTCAAGTCTCTGCCTTTGGGTGGTGGTACGACACTTCGAGTGGCTTGCGTTTGACTGACAGGCGTGTTTTACACCGTGGAGCGAACAGCACCATCCAATCCATCCAATCTACCGTACGCTAACAAACAAAACACCACAAAAAAGCGACGAGAAATTTCGGATAAAGCAAACCAGCGGTGGTGTAAAGCCAAAAGCAATTAGCTGTGAAGACTGTAAAAGACGACTAAGAGGCGAACGACCATGGGCTCTCGTCCTCCTACGGCGGATCCTGTGGACGTCACTACGCAAGCTGAAGAAGGTGAGGAAGCTACTAGTAATGCTATTACTAGTAGTAGTATCGTGGTGGAGTGTCCTCCAGTACGAAGCGGCGTGGCTTTGAACGGAGAGACTCTTTTGACGGAGGATCTCAAGAAGCTACTTTTAGAGTTTCCACTCGAGATCACCAATGACAAATCTCTACGTGGAGTTGTACCAGAAGGCACACAGTTTTCCAGTTTGCACGCGGCTTTGCAGTACATTCATGCAGCGCTCAAGGCCAAGTTGGGACCTAACACTGCTGTACAATTCCTACCAGGGTCTACAGGAGAAACCAGTACCAGTACAGGAGATCTCAAGATCATCACCATTCGTCTAGAAGACAACCAACAAGGCCTAGCTGCAAGTACTAGTAGTACTGTGCAACTCAAGCTACAAGTTCAGGCACAAGCTGCAAGTGAAGGTACAGAACTACAAGACCAGGCAGATCTTCCTCTTGTCTTGCTAGAGTGCACTACAAGTACAAGTATCCAGCAAGCAACCGAGACTGAACCTGAAAAGGACACAGTAACGACGGAACCTGAAGCACCTGAAGCACCTCAACCTACTGAAACTGAAACTAAGGATGCAACCCCGGTTGAAGCTCCGTCTCCCGCCCAAGAAACCCCGGCTGAAACTACAGCTGCAAAAGAACCTAAGGATGCTGCCACTGAGGATCCTCCAGCTGATGCTGCCAAAGAAACCCCGGCTGAAGCTCCTTCTCCTGCCACAGAAACTCCCGCTGAAGCTTCAGCTACAAAGGACACCCCCACGCAACCTGAAACGACCTCTGATCCACCCAAAGACCCGGCGGCTACCGGTACCAATACGACGGATGCGGTGGAGGACAAAAAGTCGGAGGTCGAACCGTCCGCTGCCGGTACTGGTACTGGCACTGGCACAACACCCGAAACTGCATCGGAAGCAAACAACGCCACCAAAGACATGATGGAGACTGATGACGCCACCAAGACGGAAAAAAACACGGAGACTCAAGATGACGCAATCAAGAAGACACAGGATACCGCCGACACGCCTGTAGATCCTGATGCGGATGTAGACGCTGCCAATAAAAAGACGGCACGAAAACCTACCATGGTCAACTTTCGAAAAGCCGGAGAACAAGATGAGGAGGACAATGACCACCAAGACAACATCAACAATGACGATGATGACGACGAGTCCACGTCGGATGAAGAAGTCATTGCCGTCATTGCACGACGAAGCAAACGAAAGGCACGAACCGCCACGCTCAGTCGAAGGACACTGGCAGGAAAAGCAGCCACTCCCCGAGGCTCCATCACCAAAGCAAACAATAATAAGAAAAAGGCTGCAGCGACGGCGGAACCCATGATTGTCGATGACGACGAACAAGATGAGGAGGACGACGACATTGATGTAGACTACGATGACGATGATGACGACGACAAGGTCGATGAAGACCAAAAGGAACCACAAGAGACTGCTGGAGAGGCACAAAAGAAACGATTCGCAGAACAGTGGCAAACCATGCTCGGGAGGCTCAAGGCATACAAAGACACAAACGGCGATTGTCTTGTCCCCAAAGATTATCCACTCGACCAGAGTCTAGGATCATGGGTGCACGCACAACGATCCAATTATAGACTTAAAACCATGCCGCAGGCACGCATCGATGCCCTGGAAGCCATTGCGTTCCCTTGGAAAGTACGAGATATACAAACTTGGGAAACCATGTACGAACGATTGCAAGTATATCATCAAAAACACGGAAACTCCGATGTACCTCGAAAGTGCGAATCCGATCCACGGCTAGGCAGATGGGTACAGCAGCAACGACGTGATTATCGAGAAGAAAAGTTGCCGCACGACAAGGTCGCTCTACTCGAGAATCTCTACTTTGTCTGGAGAGTCGCCGCCACGGCAAAGGGTGGAGTCCGACGGGAGAATATGGAAGAATGGAATCGCATGTTTGCCAAGCTACAACAGTACCAACTCGAACATGGAAACTGCCTCGTGCCAAGAGAATACGAAAAGGACCTCGAGTTGGGACGATGGGTTCGACAGCAGCGCACACGCAAGTCACTCTCGGATGAACAAAAGTCGCAACTCGATGCCTTGGGATTCATGTGGAAGGTACCGCACAAGAAGAAGGCACAAGTCTCCTTTGAAGAAATGCTAGAACGTCTACAGGGATTCAAACAACGATACGGTGATTGTATGGTTCCCGCCATTTATCCTGAGGATTTGCCCTTGGGAAGATGGGTCCAGCGCATGCGACAAGACTACAAGAAGAACATCTTGACGGATCAACAAATCTTTCAAATGGACTCCCTCGGCTTTACGTGGAAGTGCGCTCGAGGACGGCAGAAGATCAACTATGCCTCGGATATCCCAAACTATTTCCAGTCGCAAGAGTACCTGCTGAAATTCAACGCCGCCAACGGTGGTGTGGTGGATCCCAATAACCCACTTCAGTTCCAACAGCCACCACAACAGGACGGAGCCATTTGGTCGCCCAAGGCCGCACCAGAGTTCTGGGAAGCGCAGTTCCAGAAACTCAAACAGTATCAGGCACAGAATGGTCACTGCAATGTCCCACGGAATCACTTTGAGGACCAGTCCTTGGCCAAGTTTGTCGTGGCCCAGCGCAGTTTCTACCACAAGGGGCAGCTCTCGGAAGAAAACATTCAGAAGCTCGAGTCGATTGGTTTTGTTTGGCGGATCCAGCGTCATTGGGAAGAAAACTTTCAGTTGCTCAAAGCCTACTACGACAAGCACGGCAACACGGACGTCCCAGTGGACTACGCCGAGGATCCAAAGCTTGGACGTTGGGTCCGTGAGCAGCGACTCTTTAGCAAACGCAAGGAACTTTCCCAGGAGCGTCTCGATCGCATGAAGGAGCTGGGATTCGTCTGGAATGCTCCCGGAGCGACGAGTGCGCTCACCAAGCGACCCAAGTCCATGACGTGTCCTAAAGATGCTCCTGCCGTCGTGGCAGGATTGGGAGCCGTCACCACCGCCCCTGACGCAACTACAGGAGTTAAAGACGAAAGCAACAATGGCGAATTTGGCGTTCCAGTGGCTTCTGCGGCGTTGAAGGAAAAGACGGCCAAGCTGCAACAAGCCAATGCCAAGCTAGGAGCGGATCGAAAGAATCTCAAGATTGAAAACCAGGAGCTCCGTCGCAAGCTGCGAGAAGCCGAAGAGAAGAACTTCTGGGAGGGTCGCTATGAACAATTGCAAGTCTACAAGGATTTGAACGGCGACTGCCTAGTCCCGACGGGCCACTCCAAGTTGGGTGCTTGGGTCGGAACTCAACGTGAGTTGTACCGAAAGGGAGAACTCTCCCAAGAGCGCATTGAGCTCCTGGAGAAGCTGGGCTTTGTGTGGGAACGTGCTCGTGGTCGCCCCAAGAAGGAAGAAGGTGTTTTGCGCACCGAGAGCGAAAAGCTCATGGAAGAAGAGATTGCGCTTCAGGAAGAGAAAGGTAGGTTCAGCATCGTTTGGTTTCCGTCTGCATGTCTTGTCCATACTTCCCCTCGATCGATCGTGCTCAATTGTGGTTATGTTGCGTCTATTCTATTGACTTGGTCCAGTGAAACTGCTCGAAGCTAGAGTCAAGTTGAAGCAGGGAAAGCTTAAACTCCAACTCATCCGAGATGCCAAGCCCAAGCGCAAGAGCGTACCTGGAAGCAGCTCTGCTGATGGACCCGAAGCTAAGAAGGCCCGACCGACCATCTAGCTCTTCCTTGCGTGGTTTTTGTTCAATGGCTTTGGTGAATGTGGAATTAAATCAGTGGTGGTAAATGAGGTTTGGAAAGAAGGCATTTGACTCAACTAGAGTGTCGCTAATCGTCCGCTTCAGTCGCAACGTCTCTTGCTTTCCGACTCTTGGTAGAATCGAATCAATAACATTAGCTCGATGTAGTTTTTATTAAGTCAACGTGAAATGAGAGCTGGCATGTTTTACCTAGCTACTAGAACCGAGACTTGGAGCTTATGTAGTTTCGGCCCCACCCGCAGCAAGCCCTGGAGAGTACAGTGTACTAGTACTACTTATCCCGCCCAAGACGAGCCCGTACCGTACGCCCAACTGCATGGGATGCCTCAGGGGCAACAAAACGGACGATTGAATGATCCAATCCTTCAATTGATGGAACCTACTACCGTAACTGGGCTACAAAACCTTGCGACTAGCGAGCTGCGGCTACGAACTGCGAATTGCGAGGTCCATTTCTTACACCGATTGATTCAAATCCCTCCTCTAGCTAGCTACCTGTCTAAAGCATGGCAGCAGATCTCGAGATGCCTACGCAACAGCGTCGTGCACCATCAACAGTTGCTAGCTAGACTCGTCACTCACTCCAGTTTAGTCGATTCCACGGTCATTTTGAGAATCTGTTTGGCAATGGTATTCGTACAGTACTCGTAGTGTTTGTTTGTGGTCAGCTCTACCGGTACCATACTGTACGATAGGTCAAACTTGATCGTCCTCTTCTTCTTGCTCGGTTGGAGCGGCAAAGAGGCATCTGTATACGTCTCCTCCATGCTCTGCAAGACAACATCCGAGTATGAATGCCCAACCTAGCCACATGGCCAAAAGAATGTAAATGGCCAGATATAGGACAAGGAAGAATATGAGAATTGCAAAGTATATAAAACCCTCTGCATCCGTTTGAGCATTGGATTGACGCCGTTGATTGCGCAATGTTTGCCATTCTTCCATGGTTCTAGGGCCTGTGTACTCTGATGTTTGTTCTTGGTGATCTTGAGGTGTTTCTAGAAGAGCGAGTTTGAAGTCTCGAATAGATGGATCTGAGTCTTCTTCATCTGCCTTATCGGCTTCTAGTTGCAGTAAATGTTTGAGTGCCAAATTGGGATATAAAAGTTCCTTGCTGGGCAAAGGTGTTCTGGTGAGTGGAGAAACCTGGTTTTCATCTACCCAATGCTCAATGGCTTCTTTTTCAAAAGTGAATCCTTCCGGCCCAATGACAGGATGTTGCATGAGCATCATGGTAATGGGACAATAATAGGCATCACTCAATGGTTTGTGGTCATCACTGGGAAGAATGGATTTTTCTACCAAACCTCTCATACTCTTCCTAGCACTGTGGTGGACCTTGAGGAGCATGGTTGTGCCACTATCTCTCCTGCTACTGGTACCGGTACTTTTTCTAGTACTAATGACAGTGGTGTCAGTCTCCAACAAAGTTTCTTCTATCACTTGCTTCAAGGCTCGATTGTCATAAGCTGGGGCAGATGGAATCTCTTCAGACTCACAAATATGTTCCCAACTGGAACGCTCATAGCTAATCCCGCCAGGAGCTACCACCGGATCTCCCATGAGCTTGCCCGTTTTCGGATCATAAAAGGCATCTGGATATCTTCTGCTTGGACCATTACTACATGTAGTATCGCTAGTAGCACCATTCTTAGGTACCAGAGAGGTCTCCTCGTCCAACATGATGCCATATGACCTGGTACCGGTATTGATGTTGTGGTGTGAATCGGGTTTACTATTGATGTTGTCCAACCCACCAACGACTTTATGGGGGGGTTAGGCTGCAGCGCGGGGGAGGGAAAAAGAAGAGGAGAGGGAGAGGGTTATCAGTTGGATTCCCAATTCCAGACGTTGAGAGCATGCATGGCTTCATCCAGTCATTTCGACACCAGCCAAATACACGAGAGAGAGGGGAAACGGCAATGACTTCATGTGTCTCCTAATTCTTCTCCCCTGCGACGTCCGAAGAACAAGAAAGAACAAGAAAATACGTCAGAATATACGTCAACCATGTCAACTGACAGTCAATTCAAATCTTTCAACGGCTCCTTGCTGGCTCATCCTTCCCATTCCTTCGCTCGCACCAGACCTTCCCACTTTCCACAAATTCAAATCGCTGATACCACTGTTGAAAGCAGTCGGTGTGAGTGTTGCCGGTGTTGTTGTTGTTGTTGTTGTTGTTTCCACAATGGCGACAATGCATGCTACTAATCGTTCTATCCGTCCACCGATCCAAGTCGTCCTTCTCTCCTTCCACTAGCTACCGACGCTCCTTGAGTCCACTACCGACGCTCAGTCCACTACCGACGCTCCTCCCTCTTCCTCTACGGATACTGGTCACTACCGACCGACGACAAGAACAACAACTCGACCATGAGGATCGCAACTACTTCTCCTGCCTTCTCCAAGTGGCTGCAAAGTGTCAACAGATACCCATTCAATGAGCTGAGGTTAACAAGGCAGGATTCAATTGCAAGTATGTCATTTGTGGGTACAACAGTGATGAGGAGGATAACTTCTGTTTGCCCACAACCAGCATGGAGGTGACCGTTCTTGAGGAGTTGATATTGCAAGGAGCGTGCAAGCCACTTCCTCCTGATATGACAGGCATCATGGACTACATGTTTGAATCGGGCCTTCAGAAAAGTCCACAATGGTACCGTGCTGTTATTGCTACCCTTTCTGAAATTGGAGTCGCCACATCCCTGTGAAAGGAAGGACATCTTGATTGAGTGCATCTATTGGTTAGTGAGGGAAATGATTATGGATAGCAGCTATGACTTTCACTCCAATGAAGGACAGATATGATGGATGCTTGGCATGGGTATTTGTTGCCACTGGTATGACTACAACAACAAATTTTCCTTTCAGGTTTTGGTTTCCATGAGTCAGAGTTTTGTTGATGATTGTATTGAAGACCTTGACAACCTTGGATCTTGCAACCACACAATGCTGTACATTGTGGAAATTTTATGTAAGTTGATGTCTAAATAAAATAATTGGTGTACTAAATATTTATTTGTTGCTACCCATACCATCAATTAGTTGAAGTAGGATCATGAGGTGGTCTTCCTCTCCTTAGTCAACCATGGCATATTTCTGACAGCAGCCATTTGGTGGAGGTGGCTGGAAAGGAGATGGCAGTATTGTTGGAATTGCTGCTGCATTAAGGCAAGTTGCATCATTTGAATCTGGTGTTGTTGCTGGTATAGAACAAATTACCAACATAAGTTTCTTGTTTGCAGTACTCATGTAATTGTTTGTTGTTTGTGCACACGCTGTTGGGTTGGTGGTGGAGGAGGTGGCGGGGGGGGAACCATTCTGGTGAGTCGGTGGCTCGATTGCTGGTGGAGTCGGTGGATTGATTGCTGGTGGAGTCGGTGGCTCGATCGCTGGTGGACTCGGTGGTGCTCCAGTGCAAGCTGCACAAAGACAACAATCATTGGGTGCATACTTTTGTCTCTGTGGTTTGAATTCAACAATGAACTCTGAAAAGAACCTCTCTCCTGTATCATGTGGCAGTGGCTCTGCATTTGGAAATGCTCATCCACACCCACAGCCAGTGCCAGCTCATTTAGGTAAGCCAACTTGAATGGTTCCAGTATGGAACAACCTTTCCCTCCAGCTGGAATTGACCTCCCTCTGCCAGACTGATTCTTGACAGAAGGCTCTCTTGTGTCTAATCTTGAGGTTGTATCTTGCAGTTCCAGCCAGGTTGAGTGCATCAGCAAGAGACCTCCTCATACCACCATTACCGAAGTGAGCAAACTTGTCATGGAATGCTTCCAGTTTGGATTCTCCTCTCCTTACAGATACTCTGGGAGGCTGTGCTTGGAGTTGGCGATGGAAGGATTGTGTCATACATGTCTTCCAGTGCCAGGGGATCAGCCAAGTGAATGGCTTTGTCAACACAGTTCTCTACTGCTGGTTTGGTATCAGAAGTGAACAAGGTATAGTTCTTGACTGGATCCAGTCGCCCCTGTCCTGGCTGGCTACCATCACTGGCTGTCACCTTGTATCTGCAGAACCACTGTTGCAACTTCTGTCTAATTGTTTCTGGTGACCTCATCTGCTTCCTTAGATACTTGGAGTACCGATTCTGAAGACCTTGGACTTGCATTCGGAGATCTCAGCCATGAGTACATTGCCATTGGTGGATAAGAGCCATGTTTCAGAGCATGCAGCCTTCTCATAGTCATCAGGTGAGTACACATCAAGCAATCCAAGAGTCGACATAGCTTGATAGTGATCAATTGTCCCTTTCTCAAAGTTGACAGTATCCTCTTCTCATAATGAAACAGCCAAGTCTTCCCTCGATACTGGAAAGAGAATCTCCCAGTAGTCATCCTTGTGGGGCCAGGTATCGCTGTACATGGCAGCTGGGTTGAAGTGGCTCCTCCTTGCTAGCTGCATGGCAGCATGGAGAGTGGATGGTCTTGGTGGTGGGAACAAGAACAGCACATGCAATCTCACCAGTCTCAGTAGCAGCATCCCAAACAGCAGCAGCACCAAGAGTATTGGAGTAGTTCTTGATCACCTGGAATGTATGGTCTTGGCAGAAGATTCCTTTGTTGCAACTGACACTTTGATCTCTCTAGTGTGCCGTTGGTTGTCACTGATCCTCACGGATTCCTGTTTGAAGCACAAGCCTCATCATAGATGTCACGGATGGTGTGTCACCAAGGGGAGGAAACTGTCTGATGTAAGTTCCATCCTTTTGAAGAAATGGACCGGATCTGTTTCACTTCCTTGCAGTATGAGAAGTATGATGCCAGGACCTAATGAACTCTCTGTTGATTGCATTGTAGATGAGGCGGCTGCAGAGGTCTCCATTTGCATAGGTAACCATTATAGTGTCAAACACTTCAGTAGCTGTTCTCTGCAAGTGACAAGTCTTGTTAGGTAGAGCATACTTGGACTCCACTGGATAGAGCAATGAAGCATGGTCTGGGATCGAGACCAGGACTTCTGCAGAGTTGGCATCGAATCTTCTGTTGCAGCTTCCACAAACCATGGACATGACCATACACCAAGAAGGAGGAGCACGTGATGCCAAAGATGGGGAACAAGGTCTTGTTGTGTGACCAGTTTGTCCTTGTATTCTTGAGTTTGCCAGAGCATCTTCCATCGGGACAAGGAACTGTAATTCCACATCGATTCCAGTCCACTAGAAGGAGTTTCTGCCCAACAATGGAGTGGTAGTGAGGAGACTCGAATTGCCCTCTGTGGAGGGAACTGTCATGTGAGTCCTTGGAAGTGTGTGTGGAAGAGTTCTGGATTCTTTGCCCTGGTAATGGATTCTGACACTGCTTCTGCCATTGCTAGCATTGCCAGTGGTGCTCCTTTCTTCTTGTGCTTTTCCACAAAGGCACTATCATTTACAAGAGTGGTTACCTTTTGACAAAGAGCTACTGGAGTGGCCATTGCTGCCTTTTGTTGCTGTTGCCGGCTCTGCTTTGGTTTGGCTGTGTTTGTTCTAGCAGCAAAGAATGCTTCTCCATTTTCTCTTGTGGAATGCCCAGCTTCCTCTCTCATTCAGTGGTAGAGAGCACTGAATTGTCTGGTGAGTCTTCTGCTTTCTTTGATTGTCTCCATGTCAGCGCATTCAAAGGTCCTTGTCCTTTTGTTATTGTATTCTTAATACAGAAGACAGAGTGTGATCTCTTGGGGACTCTGAGACCAAGATGTCTGGCTTACAGATGACACAGTTCTTAGTGGATCAAAGACTTCTGCTACCATCCTATCCAGTGTTGTTTGTGGTCCTTCTTCTCTCGCTCTCTTGGATCTGTTGTTGTTGTTGTTGGAGGCGTGATATGCTCTCTTCTGTTGCGAGTTCTCTGTTGACTTTGGCAGCCATTCCTCCATTGTGAGTGTAGCTGCTGTTGCTGTTGGTGGATTCATTGCTGCTGGTGCTGGAATTGCTTCGTTTTGGTGGAGATAATGACTGTCGAGTTGAGGGTGAGCGGCAGCATGTCATTTCGATCGAACGAACGGAGGAATCCTTCTTTCTGTTTTCGCGAAACACGAAAATCGAAACTAGGTAGCACATTAACTCCTTAGGTATGTGTCATATTTACGTCACGATTCTTTATTTGTTCCTTAATCGCTGCTGACATATACATTGTTCTTCGGTACTCATTAGCCAATCAGATTTCTGCCTTCCACCCCTTTCTCGCCACCAACCGAGATGCACGCAAAGACGAAACCAAACGGATGAAGGGAATGAAGCGAAACGTAACGGCCTACTAGCTAGTATAGCTAGCTAGCGCACGGATCTTTTGCAAGAGGGTCTGCCGGCTCGTAACGTGACGTGTCCGGAAGATCTGTAGGTCGCACCAGTTCTCACATTATATCTTTTGAAAAAGATCCATCATCTGGTTTGGATCTTTTCTTCCTCCGTCAGCCATTAATTAGCCGTTGTTTTGTTGCACAACCAATGCGATCTCATTATTCGTGTCCTCTACCGCCACATTCTAGCTAGCTAATACTGCTACCATTTTATAATAGCTAGCTAGAGATAAAAAGACGATGGAGTCAACTGCTCGTGTTTCTTATAAGCTGGAAGACAACGAAGACTTGGATCCTCAAGAACTGAACGACCAGGCACTGCAGCGAATTAGTCAAAATCACGAAGAATTGCTCGAATTTGTGGAATTATGTTCCAAATTTGCGCAAAAAAGTTGGATCTACGACCTCAGCGAGACTCTGCGGCTGACTAGACTACAAGGCAAAGCGGAATACATGCTCCAATATGTCGTCGAAGACAACTTCCTAGCAGACCCTGCTGGTCATTCCTACGGAGCCGTCAGTTGCGATTTCCAAGTCAAGGAAACAACACTTAGTCACGACTACGACTTGAAAGCGCTCAAGTCACGTGTCGTGGAAATGTTTGAGTGGTACGAGAACGAGGAAATCAGACAAAAGTTCCTTTCGCCCTACTTTCCTCTCATACAATCCAGTGGAATGGGAAAAACCAAGCTACTCTATGAACTCAAACAGTACTTTACTTTGGATGATAAGTCATATCACGTTGTCCTGGTACTCTGTTCCAGTGGAGAACTCGAGGGAGATATGAGCCAAACCTACAATGAAGCCGTGGAAATGGAGGAATGCATGAAACGAGAGCCAGATCCAAAAATGAAATACAGAGAAGTGGAAAAAGAACTTGAACAGCTATGCAAACGTCACAACAATAAACCCACCGTTCTGCTATTTGACGAAGCACAGAATATACTCGTGGGAAAAGACAATCACTTGTTCAACTGCATTCAATGGTGGCTTGCCAAGAAAAACAAACAACCACTCAAAGTTGTCGCTGTTTTCGCCGGATCCACACTACAATTTGCACACATTGAACGAGAACCGCCAGAATCAAAGCATTGGGGAGAATACTGGATGGACGGATCTGAACGGTATCCACCTTTTTTTCAGCTTCATACCATGGGGTGTTTACTCAAAAAACACCGACAAAACAAAGCCGACAATACTGAATTTGATGAATCGGTGGCATACGGAAGACCCCTCTTTGCAAAAATGGGAGAACGACGATTGCTTCACGACGAATCACAAGTCGACATTCTGAAACGACTCGTTTTGTCACACGAGGAGGATTGGCGGAAACGCGCGGACTCGTGTTTCAGCGTCCTGGCCACACGAGTCCAAATGGGACAAACCAGTTTCAATATTGCCTCGGAACTCGTGTCGAGAGGATATGCCGTGCTGCAAAATCTCGACATGGAACAACGAGTAGCCGAAATTTGTCATTTGCCCGATCCCGTCTGTGCTCGATTGGCCATGTGCTTGATGAAGGAGGATTATACAACCGCAGGTGCACCAGATTTGCATGGATACAATCGGAAATTTTGGGCCGACAAAATGGCCGAAATCTTTTCCGAGCAAACCTGTGTGCCTTCGGCGGGGGATGTGGGAGAAGTTTTCTGTGCACTCTATTTGCTTTTCTGCGGGGACATTTTAAGATTTCAAAACAAAGACGACAAAGAATGCAAACACTTCTCCGTTTCGCTTTGCAATTGGATACACTTGCTCATTGCCGGGGGTGGCCCTGGGAGGACCAACGCCGGCGGCGAAGGGGAAGACGGAGAACACAATGAAGAGGATGAGGGGGGCAATGATGAGCAAGATCAGGCTACTACTCCGCGTGATGGTGATTTTGTCTTTGAACCTCCCGCACAAACCATTGATGCTTCCGTTTGTTTCATTCAACTCACGCAAAACTACCTACGCTTCAACGAATCGATGCACGCATGGACACAACAACATTTCCTGGAACATCTCTACAAGTCACGGTCCGCCTTTTACGTATTCGAGGACTGTTCTGTGTTTGATATTTTTGGTTCCATTCGAATCAACAGCAGCACACCTACGTATGTGCCTCTCCTCATATCAGTCGTCAATCTACCCAAATTCTCGCCTTCCGAAGCAACCAGTTCCTGTTGTGCAATGGAAATGATGCTGACTAAGGCACGGTGCTATGGAGGACTATGTATTCTACTGGTCCTGGGACGGACCGTTCATTCAGAATTTGACGAAGAACTGGTCTTGACTAATGAGGATCTCGAACTTATCCCCAACGAGATTGTAGCCAAAGTCATTGAAATTCCAACTGACGACGCATTTGGCCTTACCAAGAAATTCTGGAGTGTCACCTCGAGCGATACCGAGTTTTCGGAAGTATTTGGATCCCATTCCTTCTTGGCATGGCACCAAGAGGACGATATCGAATCGGCCGAGTTTTTGCGAAGGGGCAAACGGACAGAAAATGCTAATGGCTCGGATCATCCGCTCCACTATCTGAATGAATTGCGGCGAGCTGTTGGTTTCACCCCTCCAAAAGGCAGCTAGAGACTGCGAGGAATGTGATGAAATGGAAAGGGAAAGGGATTTGCGATGTTTTTATGAGCTGCAGATTGGTGTTATTGGGCTGTTTTTAGTTTCAACCGTCGTTGGTTCCTCGATACTTGCGGGTTACTATACTTGCGGCCCTTGGAACTCCAATTACAAATCATGTCTCGGCGACCGATGACGACAGTGACGTGAGCGCGGGTCAGAATTGACGACGTAGTGTTGAAGAGACGTGGGCACACTGGAGTTTTGCATGTGATGATGCCGTACGAGAATATTTTTTTGCTGGTTTGGCGCACGGATGGCACCATGCATTCACCGTGAGAGGCTACACCCTGAGATGCGTGATCCACTTGAACGAGCAGGTTAGTGGCTCGTGCAGCAAAGATGGCGGTTTACGACCTGCAGATCCGATTTTGGGACGATTTTCGCGAGCTGTGATATGGCATACTTGCAACACGAACAGGGATCGATGCTAACTTAAAGACGAGGAATGTTACCTTCTAGAAACTTCAAGAAAACCAGCCCCTGCAATTGACTGGCCGCCATGAATCAAAAGCGCAGAAAGAAAATCCGGAGATGCCCAGCACGAATCCCTTCCAGCAGCATGGACAAACTCCGCACCAAGAATCAACCTCAATCCAACGACGTACGTACCGTCCGGTACAGTCATCGCTGCCCTGGAGAAATCCTGATCCATACGACCAAAAATCCTGATCCATACGACCAAAATGGACCAGAAGAAACAACCCACAATGGAAGCACTCGATCCTTGCATAGCTCTGGTGCCTGGAACTTCTGATTGAGTGTTTCGAGTTTTGCCGAACACCGTATCAGACAACTCTGCTTGTCTCTCTACACACAACAACCCACCACGAAAGCTCCTTTCCCGAGCAGGATTCCAATACCAGCTACTCATTGGAAAGAATGCCACTCTTTCGAGCCATGCATCCAAGGGTGGGGCTTCCGTGCGCGCCACTCGTGTGCTGATCTGAACTGGATGTAGATCAAATGGACTGGGTTTGCTGGATCTGAAGCAACCGTTTCCCTCAAGAATATCGCATAGATCCAAAGAACGATACACCACACGAGAGACACAAGATGATCGAGCCTCGTTATTCCAATCTTCCGCCTTCCTTCTTCTCTCGTTGCGACTATGCCCGCCAGTACCAAGGATAGGAAACCTACGCGAGTGTTACCAAGAAGAATTCCACAAGCCATGCATATCTCGACAACACACAAGAAGCTATAGAGCCTACCAACAAGAATGATGAATCCGTGGGTGGACCTTAGACACGAATTTGGTTTGGTGGACGAAAAACAGAGCTTGCCTCCGTTTTCTCGGGTCTGGCGTGATATCTATGTATGCTTGGTGCCACGAACGCTCGTCTCCACGAGGAAACTGCATTCATCGGTGACTGATGAAGCGGCTCAGCTTTGGACAGCGTCTTACCCTACAAATTTCCCAACGACTGAACCATTCACCGTGGTCTGTTGTTGCGTTGTATGGTATACATCTCAATAGTTGGATCATGCCGCTGCCTCGCCCTGATCAGCAAAGGCGTGCAAAAAGAGACAGAACTGATTCGATTCGTTTGGCTCCCTCGAGCTCTCTAGCTAAAAGTCGCGGCCGAAATTGCGTTTCTGAAACGTGACCAAAAGTCTGGAGCGCATCGCGTTTGACTCGACGTCATGATATTGTGTAGTAGTGCACACGCAGTCCTCAGTAATTGCGCTGTGCATCAATGGACTCTTTTTTTGAGCTTGTGCCGCACAAGAAGCTCGATAGTACGGGAGCTCGAGTGGAATTAAGGCATTTCTTGGAACCAGCCCACGATGACGATTGGATACCGTTCTTTGCTTAGTTTTCGGCAAGAAGAAAGACAAGCCGAATTGAAAGATAGAGATACCACAGGTTGCCCCCCTCAATCACCATTACCTTGCTGCTATGTGTACTGCATGCTGGCACCGCACCTGTGCCCCATTGGCAACGACACTTTGCTTACAGACATAGACGTGACCATGCACATAATATTTGATTAAAGGACCTCTTACTTGTCTTGACCCCTCCGAAAGTATCGATGTTGGTGACATTGTCTAGCTAGCTAAAGATATCATTAAAAAGCTCCGTAGAGTTTGTCACATCAAATCCATCTGCCCCAACCAAAACGTTAATGGTGAATTCAGAAAAGTCCTCTCCATAAAAGAAAATAGAATACAACACTGTTTGGTTGGTTGCTGTTACAGTGATCCAACCAGAGGCCAGGCCGTCATTAAGCCTACTTGACACGACCAGTCTGTAGCTGGTCTTCAGGTGGACTGTGAACGGAGAGGAGTGCAGATAGTTGGGAAACGCAAGTGGACCACTTGATTCCAGTGTGTCCCAAACACCAGTCAAATTAGTTTCCGTCTCCCAAACCCAAGATGCATATTCTGGCCAAGCATCAGTATGGATATTGACCATGACATAAGCACCGGTAGTTGGAAACCGCCCAGGCCAATCGGGTGGAGCTCCTGTGACATCAGCACAGGTGGAAACAGGAGGAGTTTCATTTAGGGAACAATCACAAAATAGAAAAGAACAAAGATGCTCTGGCACAGTTCCTGAGAACTGATTCCCATATAACTTCAATCCCATCGATGCATTCAGTTGGATGGGCAGTGTTCCTGTCAGGTTATTGTTGCGAAGATCCAGAGATGTCAGTGATGTCATCATGCCAATTTCAGTTGGGATTGTGCTGGTGAACTGATTGGCAAATAGGGAAAGCCGGCCCAGTGAGGTCAGGAGCCCAAGATCAGAAGGCATTGAACCTGTGAACGAACTCTCATGAAGGTCGATCCATAGCAATGTTGCCATGAGCCCAAGCTCAGAAGGAACTTGACCACTCAACCAGGTATCAAAAAGGTCAAGAAATATCAATGAGCCCAAGAGCCCAAACTCGGTTGGAATTGGACCGGAGAACTGATTTTCATAAAGGTAGAGGTACTCCAATGATGTTAGGAGCCCAAGCTCAGAAGAGATTGTCCCTGTAAAGTGATTTTCGTTGACTCTCATCACCACCACAGCGGTCAAAAGGCCAAGCTCGGAAGGGACTTTACCGGTGAGCTGATTTCGATGCAACTGTAAACTACTCAAAGCTGTCAACTTTCCAAGCTCAGAAGGCAGTGGGCCGGTCAACTGATTACCATGAAGCCAAACATCTTCCAATGAGGTCAGGAGCCCGATCTCGGAAGGCAGTGGACCGGTAAACTGATTTTCATAAAGGTGAAGTATGTCCAGTGCTGTCAGGAGCCCTAGCTCAGAAGGCAGTGGACCAGTTAACCAGTTCCCTAACCCAGCAATCAGTTCCAATGAGGTCAGAAGCCCAAGCTCAGAAGGAAATTGACCAGTCAATCCATTCGACTCAAATGAAAGCTGGGACAAGGAAGTCAATAGTGCAATCTCGGAGGGAATTTGGCCCGACAACTGATTCACCCCCAAGCGAAGGTAGGACAATGAAGTCAATAGTGAAATCTCAGAGGGCAAATTGCCAGTGTACTGATTTCCCCACAAATCCAAATGTGTCAATCCAGGTATCTCATAAAGTTCTGTTGGTAACAGAGATGAAAGTGGTCCAGCAATGTCATTGCTCCAAACGTTGCCCCAGAAGTTTTTTAGAGAGACACGAGACAAGGAAGTCAAGAGCGCAATCTCAGGTGGCAAGAATGGGGGAAGAACAGAAAGCTGCAGGTGTTGCAGATCCAGCGATGTGAATTGTCCTTGGCTGTTGCAGGGAGGTGTAAATGGGATACCGAATTCTTGAAGTTCAGTGTATGTCTCATCAAAAGGGTTAAAATATCCAAATCCACTGGAAAACCAGTCACACTCTTCGACTGTGTCATCCACCCATCGCTCTTTTATGAGCGGATTCCAATTTTCTCCCTCAAAAGCGTAGAAAAATGTGGACATGGCAAACAACTGTGTCTTTCTCCATTCTGGAAGAAGCGTGATATTTTGGTGATTGGCTAGCCACTGCCATGCTCTCCACTGAGGGGTATGACTACCATTGTTGATGCTTGCCAATGTGAAGTCTGGCAGGCTGTCCAACACTATATCCAGAGGCCCAGTGGGGGCAGATGATGGTACTTCCGAAGGAGTCGTGGAGCCATACACTGTTGGAGCCTCCGTTGACTCGTGTACATGCACTTTTGGCTTCTTGTTCTTTTGTGTTCCCACCACGAATCCCACAATAATGGCAGCAACCAGGAACAACCAAAGAACTGCAGCCAAGAAAGCTTTCTGTTGCTGATTCTTTTGTTGTGCGCAATGCTGGGCAGCTTCGAGATCAACAGGATTGGCATGCATCAAATCAGCAGAATCATCCTCTACGGCATTTGCTTGTACCAAACCTTCATTAGTCAATACCTGTTGGATAGTATCAACATGGGGATCTTCTGGACCACTGCCAGTGCCCACATCAGCACCAAGAAGGCCATAGTTTAAGTTTGGGTTGTTGGAGGCCATAAGGGATCACTAGACCTATGCCGCATGTAGCGCTACATGCGGCATAGGTCTAGTGATCCCTTATGGCCTCCAACAAAATAGGAAGTCAGGACCACCTGGCCCCACACGACTTACTGCACGGTGTTCTGTGCAAACTATCCGCCCTCCCACTGAACACACTGGTTGAGGACTCGCGCTCCCATGCATCCCTAACCCTGTTGGCATTAGGCATCCCTAACTCTGCTGGCATGACGGGTTCGAACTACGAGCCCCACTGACTTCCTATTTTGTTGGAGGCCATAAGGGATCACTAGACCTATGCCGCAAGTAGCGCTACATGCGGCATAGGTCTAGTGATCCCTTATGGCCTCCAACATGGGTTTCGTTGCATTTGTCCTCCTGGTGCTCCCAGGAACGCACCTGGCTGAGATTGTGGCCGCATGTGGGTATTTCGGTGCAAGACAAGTTGTGGGACAGCCTCTACATGTACTTCTTCGAGGGCCACTACTGTACCGGTAAATCCTGGTACACCATCTTGTTGTTTTCTCAAGGCTGCAACTTCTTGCGCCCTGGATGGAACAGGAACATCATTGTTTGTGTTGCTAGCAGCGTTTGGTTTTTCTAGACAGACACCTTCTTTCGCATCTGCCCCAACTATTTCGTCAATTTCGTCAATTTCAAGTGCATTTGCTGTGGCATGGATGGCTTCATCTGCCTCTGCGTTGTGGTCTTCATCGGTGCGACCAATGGAATTATCGAAGTTGGAATCATTCAATTTCTTTTCTTTCATGCTCATCTAGGAAATACCGTACCGTAGGTATACTATGGGCTATATTAATTATTAATAGCAAATAGAATGATGAGGATGATCGACGATCGATCGAGTGCTTAATAAAAGGGGCAAGGGATAATAGTTGATATATATATATATCTATGAAGAAAATAAAGACAAACAAATGCTGGGGTTGCAAGGAAAATCGATGGATAATGGTGTTGGAACGACTGAGTGTCGCTGTAGTGTGTTTGCTGTCCGCACAACCAAGGACGTGTTCAGTACAGCCGTTGGGTACGGTACGGAGTTGCGGGTAATACACTGTAGGCAGTAAATAAAATAACCTGCAAGGTGGGTTAATCATCCACTTTGAGTCATGCTTCCAAATAACAGAAAACTTCCAGATGTGTCATTCTTCCAGATTACTTCACCCTTTACTAATCACTACGTGGTGTTACATGTACGTAGAGCGTTCCAGATTGTGTCATTCTTCCAGATTGTGTCATTCTTTTACATTCTGTCATTCTTCCAAAAGAGAGCATTGGAACCGGACAAACAGTGTAAAAACGACTTTCCCGCAACTCCAATGATACCGCCACGCGTGCCATTGGATGCACACCTCTCCCAAAATTGGATGGCCACGAGGAGACGATGGCGCCCCCCCAACTCGAAAGTCCTCGCTCACAGCAGACAACTACCAGTACTGCAACTGTAGCTATCTATTGCTGGCCAGCTAGCTAGAAAGAGTGGCTCTACCAATACATCATCATTCAAATAAATTGGATCACTAGACTACTTCAGTTATTTCAGTAAGATGATTGTAGGTCGTTTGTTGGTTCAGCGAAGTGCTGTTGTTGGTGTTCGTAGTCTTGCGTCTTCCGCAGTTCCCAGTACGAGTGTGGTGGACACTTCAACGCTGTTGGATCAGTTTCGCGATTCGTTGTCATTGGAAGAACGTCGCGAGCAACCCGTGGGTCGTTCGTGGCATGCCCGCGAATTGCGCCGCAAGTCCTTTGATGATTTGCACAAGCTCTGGTTTGTCCTCTACAAGGAGAAGAATGCACTATTGACGGAAAGACAAATGTGTCGAAGAAATCAGATCGAATTCCCACAGCCAGAAAGATTCCGAAAGGCGCAAAAGAGCATGGGAGCCATCAAGCAAGTTCTAGGAGAACGAAAGCGAGAACGCATTGCTGCCTTTCACGAAAGCAAAGCGCTGGAGGAGGAAGATCGTCTGGAAGAAGACATGGAAAGCGAGGAACACCAAAAGGCATAGATAGATAGAGCATCACTACCGAATCATATTTAAATAATGATAGTTGCAAGAATTGAGGAAAGATAACCCTCCAGTACGAAACCCCGTTCTGACAAGCTCCCTGCGAAACCGCCTACCGTAACTAGTAGATTTCGGTACGGCGACCGAATGATACATGTCTTTCAGAAATTGGGAAGCAGTTTGCTGAAAATGAACACAAGCAACACAATTAGTGGCGGCGGTTGTTTCCTCTGTTCCTGGTCTCACACCTAGCTCCGATGTGGGTTTCGCGACAAGCGCAAGTGCAACCTGTAGGCCCAATGCTAACATACATGATCTGTCCCACCAGGAGCACAATATCCATCATCGCACGAGCAAGTGTGAAACCACCCTTCGTTGTAATTCTGGCAGGAAATGGAAGCATCGTTGAGAAGTTGCTTCTGCGATTCCACATACTCAGTGTCTTCTTGCTCGCAGCGGGCCCCCAAGTAGCCCACATCACACTCGCAGACGGTTCCTTCCTGGGTTGCGCTGCACGTAGAGTCAGGTGAGATGCTATTACACCAGCGTTGTTGGCAGCTACAGGAGGTGTGGAAAGCATCATCGGAGTAGTCGTCACAATGAAGCCCAACTTCGTTATACAGAGCCTCTTTGGCTACCAGGCCTTCATCAGAAGTTGTTGGTACAAATGTGGGTGTGTTGGCGGGTGTCTGGGACGGGGCTGCTGATGGTGCATGGGTGGGCTCTTGGCTGGGCCTGGGAGTTGGAACAGAAGTCGGGGTACTGCTTGGGAGCGCTGAAGGGACCATGGTGGGATCTTCAGTAAGACTGGGAGTTGGGGATTCAGACGGTGTGCTGCTTGGACTGAATGTGGGAGAATTCGTCGGTGCATGGGTCCGTCCATGACTTGGCATCCCAGTTGGGCTATTGCTTGGGCTTGGGGTGGGTTGACTGGTTGATGGGACGGCCGAAGACTTGTTCGCCACAAAGGAGTTGCTATTTGAGCGATAGTTACTTTCGTAGCTACGATTTAGCATGTAGCAGCGAGTGGGGTATCGAGCAGGTTGCCAAACAATAGCTTCGCACCGGTCGTTGCTGCAACATTCGCTCATGCAGTCATCCATGGTAGCAAGCCCATCGATGCGACCTACGTTGGAACCTGGAGAGAGACCAGGAACAGCAGTGTACGTGGGGGAGCATTGGGCAGCACCCTGTAGCTGACGGTTCGTGGCGCGCAGCCCGTGGTTCTGATCGTGGGCTCCTTTGTCTTGCTGGGAGTTCAGCTGAAAGAAGAGTCCTAGCAAAGCGATGAAAAGAAGCAGCACCATAGCTGACTGTGTCTGGTTGATGGGCATCGTTGGGTTGGTTGTTTCCGTTCCGTTTTGTATTTAGTTAGGTTTGTGGTTTGTTGATTCGAATTGAATTTGTAAGGAGACGAGGCGAGAGATCGCAAATTTCTTTGATAATGCACATGGGGCTGAAGTCCGGTCGCTGGACGTCCCCTATGCATCGAAGCATTGCGGCGAACCTTATCGATCGGACCCCCTTGGTGAAATTCAGCCAAACAGTTTGAATTGAATGCGCTCGTTCACGCGAGCTCGAGTTGAGTCAGTCACACTGTTTCTGGACGTACCGTACGGTACCTGGTACAGGGTTTTTTCACAACCCAACAATGTCCAGGGAGCTGGCACCAAACAAATCCTCACATTTAGGCTTCTGCTGAAGTTCCTGGTGCTTCGAGTGTGGCACCCGATGCTGTCTCGGCCTAGCTAGTTGCCCGCGAAATTTGATATCAAGTTTATCTCCAGGTTGGCTAGACGTCTAGCTAGACAGACTGGCCAGAAGTTTGACATTGGACGGCCGTGAGTCACACGCGGGAAATAGCGATCGAGCTCGCGACTGTTGCCAACCAACTGGTGTCAAGGGCTTGTGGGTTTTGATGGCTTGGCTACATCTTCGTCCACTTGCTTGGTGGGATAAAGCCATGCCCCGATCTCCCTCACTGCTCGCTGCACTGACTGTAACTCTGGACAAGATAAGCTCAAGTTCATGCCACTAGCTAGCCTAGCTAAGCATAAAAGGAGCAGATAAGACCTCCTTAGATTGCTACTGGTCGTTTTTGTTTTAAGAGGTGTTTGAGTGCAGTACTGGATCCTTTCATGCTTCATTCAACCCCTTGAGGTCAGCTTCAAAACGACCACTCTTGCGGACATATTGACCGGCAAAGCCAATGGCCTCTTCGATGCGCAACAACTGGTTGTATTTGGCCGGTCGTTCGCCTCTACAGGGAGCACCCGATGCTTCGAGCTGTGCCACGGATCGAGATCTTCATCCATGCTGTCTTTGCTTAAGCCTGTAGATAATCCACCTTATCGAAACCCCGTTATACCTCGAAGGTCTATCTGCCTGAGCCCTCACCCCCTTTTTTGGTAGCTGGACATTGGTTTGGGATCGTGTCACACGCCTCTGGTTCAACGGATTCTCTAGCTTCAATTTCTTTCTTGACTTGAATGCCACCTTGCTTGCTGCCTTGGTGCCTTGATGCCTTGATGCCTTGGTGCTGAATCCAATCAAGATCTTGTTCCTGTTTGAGAAAGACTTGAAATTGAAGCTTCTGCTCTTTTTCCAGGGGCATAGTCTGCTGCCTTGGCTTACAACGACTATCAGTATTCATAGGAAGTGCAACAAGGCACTATTACCAGGTGATCCTGGGAAGTATACAACTTATTCCTTGGCACTCCCGATGCTTCGAGCTGTGCCACGGATCGAATCTTCATCCATGCTGTCTTTGCTTAATAATAAGCCTGGCCCTGGCTGGCTTCCGCAGAGATTCTTCCTACCCGCTTTTTATCGTCAAGAAGACCGTGTAGGGACTTGTGAGCGATGCACCGTGTCTCAATCAGCTCCCAAGGAACAACGCAAGTCAAAAACGAAACTCCCAGTAGAACCTCAAGCATGCAGAGGAAGAGGTTGAAGTCAGCCCGTTGTCATCGATTAGTTTCCGAAGACGGCCCCGAGCGATCGACTTGACTTCGGCGTTGGAGAAAGATATGCCATGGCTCTCGCCATGACCACAATAGACAGGACTATGATAATCCCCATCCGCAACGGTTCGCACTATTTGCAAGCTACTTTCTAAAGTGTATTTTAAAAGTTCGCACACAGTTATCATAATAGCTGGTACCTATGATGATCGGGCTCGAAAAATTGCGAAACAATTGCTTTATATCCATACAATGTTGCCTCTTGGAATCCATCAGCACTTGCTTCGATAGCTCAGTAGGCAGAGCGTACGTCTCATAATCCATCAGATGTTATCAACATGACCATCAAGCCTAAGTCAGCGTAAGGCCGGGAGTTCGATCCTCTCTCGAAGCACTTTTGCCCTTTGTTGCTTCCATGTCCATCTACTGTGGGGTGAAGTGCCAGCTGGGAGATGGGCGTCAACCCTGATCTCTTGATCCTATTTCGATTTGACAACATTCCCCAAGAATTGGATTCCTTCATTCGTCTTGAGAGTGAGCACACTCCACAGGTACAGCGGAAGATCTTTCGAGCCATCCGAGACGACAGATTGCTCTACAGCTCTGCGAAATTGCTTTTTGTCCACCCAAGCACGAGTTGTAGGTTGTGGCAGCTCTCTCCAATCTTTGGGTTGTAACTCACCATGAGCAAAACTCTATGGCTGGCTGGCGTTGTTTCAGTTCATCTGATCAAGCCTAAGTCAGCGTAAGGCCGGGAGCCGTGTAGGTCTTCAATGAAACCCTTCAGGAATCCAGAAGGTCTTGGATCGAAGGCAAGGAGAACAAGAGAACGACCACAAGAATAACTCGACATCGGAGCGAGTGAAGCAGCGGGTGCGTGGATGAAATTGGAGGATTGGGCGTGATGTGCGTCCACCGCACTGCAGCACGAGAAGACTGAAGGAGTGGACACTACGATGTAGTTGGTTGCCCACTACAGCATGTTGGCGGATGACATGCTTGACTTTAGCTCTTCCCGAATGGTACAATCCAATTGAGTCAAGTCCGGAGGAACTGTTTCCCTGATTTTGCTTCGGACGACTCGACTCACTCCTGGCACACCACAAGTACCAAACCTATACCGGTAGCCAGCTTGGCTGGCTGGTAACGGTATGACCTGGCTGCGACATTGTAGTATTGTAGTCAGTGCAGGCTGCTGTTCCTCATTTTGCTCAAGCTTGGGATCCATTTGAGCGACCAACGCAGCTAGCCCGAATAGGCATGGTGTGGTACGGTATTGCTTGCATGGACTGGACCGCAACAGCAAGACTACTAGTACATGTACCGCACGACCACAACCTTGATTTTTTGTTCTCTTTGGCTGTGTCAATCGGGCCCGTGCACCTTTCTAGCTTTAGCTTGCAGAACCGAAGTACTCCTGGAGCAGCTTGGAGCTCGCGTCTTTCGTCTTTCGCGTTTCGCCACAATAATGCACGAGCTCTCATCCTGTACTGCTGTACTGTACTGTACGGTATGTACCGGTGGAATGATGAATCTAACGATGTCGCCTTGGCTAATAAGTTGGTGGTTCTGGAAAGCTTCAAGTCAGTCTTAAAGTGCAGAACGATGTTGTAGCCAAGCAGCCTTTTTGCTTACGTTGAGGAAAAGTAGATTTAGAGCACATGTTCAGTCGCGGTCTTTTTGTCTTGGACAACTCCAGAAAGGAGATAATGATCGATAGCATTCCTTAGTTCGAGGAGTGCTCCGTAGCTCCGTAGTACTCCTACTGTGAATATTCTTAAATCCGTTCTTTGTCAGTGGCCATTTGAGAGAAGGCAAGTCATTCTAGCACAAAAACGGTACAAAAGCTACCCAAACAGCAATATCCAACAGTCAGGCCTGACATCCAATTCATAAAAAGTATAGTTGAGTTGAGATACCCCACCATGACCATGAGATTGCTCTCTGTAGTCAACAACAACAACAACATGCTCCTCCATCTGTTAATGCTACTAGTAGTGCTATTGTTACAAGTGGATAAGACTGAAGGAGCAGTGCCTTGTGAAAGTGACCCTTACTGTGAATTGGTACTAAGAACTGGATCTTCCTGCTTGGATGGATTTTGCAGCAATCCGTTTCATTCTGGCGGTTGTTTGCAGCATTTCCAGCATCTTGCCAAAGATCGTGCCAATGATCAAGCATATGTCAGAGTGTGTGGAAGTGAAGATCCTCCTGAAGCTTTCCTAAAAGGCCACTGTGAAAAACCAACGTTTTCTTATCCGGAGGTTCGATTGTCCGTTGCCAACTGGGAATCCTCGTTTATGGCCGCTTGGATCTTGCAGATTCTTCTAAGTGAAGTCCTGCAAGTTCCTGTTTCCATTGAAGTGGGTCAAGCAAATCTCAATGCGGACTTTTATAACCAACAAAACAAATGGGATTGGCCAACTTCAAGCACTACCACTAGTACTAGTACTACTAGTAGTACCAATTCAAGTGATTCAGTGGGAGCCAACAACTTTCAAGCACTGAAAACTGCTCACCAATTGGGAGGGGTTTGCACCAACATGGATACAACCATTGATACCATTGAAAGTGCCAACAACAGAAACAGAGGATGCGCCAATGTGATTCCAGAAGTATGGAAAAACGACGAAGTCCCACTCTTAAGAAAACTTCAAGATCAAGGAATCATTCTAAGACCAACCAGTTTGGGAGTCTCTGGTCAAGAAGATATCGTCATTCCCGATAGAACTGCACAGTATGATCCTTCACTCACATCTTTTCATGGACTACAAGGAAAACACAACCAAGGAAAACTGGCAAATATATTCCAGTTTCCAACCACTTGGAGAGACTACTGTATGCAAGTGTCACCCAACAATTGTGACAACAACAACAGCACACACGACAACACAGTGGCAGCAAGACCTCCCTTGAATCCACAAGAAGGAGACTTGTACTTTGCTCCTGGACTTTACACTGGATACTTTCGACCACACCCAAATTGTGACACTACTACTACCAGCAGTAGTACCTTCACCAATGATTCATCTTGCACTGGAGTCTTTCTCGATTATCCATGTGACTGGAGCTACAACACGGTCCAAAAACTGGTATGGCTCGATATTCCACTACAACCCATTCAGTACTCCTACAGTGAACTCCTTCAAATCAACTTGGCCGCCAATGCGACAAAGGCACACACCATTGGGGTTTGGTTTAAACCAGATCCACTCAATGAACTATGGGTAGGCACCGATTCACAGCTCACACCCGTCAATCTACCACCGGCCACAAGCACGTGTCTACAGCACAAAATTAATAATGACATTACCGCACGATGCCTTGACAAGATGGATAATATCGCAGAACAGGCGGGAGATCCAAGAGGCGCTTGCCAGGATCCACCCAATCCACTTCTCAAGGTCATGGCTGTGTCATTGCGGGATGCCGGAGAAAATCCAGACATGGATGAAGCGCTATGGAGTCCGGCACATTTGTTCATTGAACGATTCGAAATCGACAATATACAATACAGCCAAATATTCGAAAACTGGTTGCAGCGAGGAACCGATAAATGGAACTTTGACTTACGAGATGCCACCTGCGAGTTTGTCGCCGAAAATCTGGGCTGGATTCAACAATCCTACATGCCAAAGACGTTTCCCCGAGTGATTGAAAATGTCAATATCCAAGGCACGGTCGATCAGATTGCGGCCATGGTGATGTCCATTTTCGCACTCTTGCTCGTTACCAGTGCCGCCATTGCGGCCAACCGTCGACGAACTACAAAGATCATGTACCATACGCAGCTCGGGATTCTCTATGCGGTCCTGGGAGGACTCTTCTTGGTGGCGGTAGGAGCATTCCTTCTCACATTTCCACCCACCGATGCACTCTGTCCCACCCCGTATTGGTTTTCCAATCTGGGCTACGCCATGGAATTGACACCTGTCATTGTCAAGGTCGATGCCATTAGTCATGCTGTGCGCAGAGGCAATGCCATGCATCGAGTTAGGTTATCCACGAGGACTATTCGTTTGGCGGTCCTGGTCGGTATGGGATTCCTCGGCGCCGTCACATTGTCATGGACACTGGTTCATCCTTCCAAACAATCCACAGCTTTTGAACTCACGTCCAACCAGAATGAACACGGTGCTACTATTGTCTCGGCAGCCGCCTTTTGCGAGTCGGCAAATCCATTCTGGGCCATGGCAACCTTTCTCTTCTTTTCCGTTTTTTGTTTGTACGGATTGTTCTTGGCGTTCCTCGCCAGGACACGAGAAGATCGGAATGGAGCTCGGAACTACGCTACTCTCTTGGCATCGCACGTGGTCATTGTGGGGTTCCGTGCGGCCATTTTTCTACTTTCCGAGTCCATCAACGAGGCGTACGTCCGCCTCTATACCAGTATCATGCTCAGTCTCGACTGCATCGCGGCCGTATCAATCTTTACCGGACCCAAACTGTTTGAGAAGAGAGAAGAACAGGAAGATTCGGAGGAGCCACTGCCGGATCTGTTTCTCGAAACGGTGAGTACACAGCCTGCAGTTCTGATGCATGCATGCTTGCTTGATAGCAGGAATCGGTAAAACTACATTTTCCCTTGCTCATGTACGCTTTCTGTACAGACGGTTGTCAAGTGTGACATTGTTGGTGAGTTGGGTTGTTGGGAGTGCAGACCTCGTGAGGACCAAGTACCTGGTAAGACTTACTTACGCACTCTTTGACTTTCCTTCGTTCTACCGTAGGATTTTCAAAGTGGGCGTCCATGCGAGAGCCCACGCATGTATTTCAGCTGCTGGAAGCTATCTTTGCTGAGTTTGATCAAATTTGCGAGAGGCGTCGCATTCTCAAAATTGAGACTGGTACGGAAAAATAATCTACTCCGCGAACGATTGCCATGCTTTGACGGAAGTCCTTACACCCTGTTTATCACGTTGTTTTCCCAGTGGGCGATTCCTATAGTACGTACATTCGGTCATAGGTTTTTTTATGGCGTCCATTGAGGCATCGGCACTAACTATTTCGTTGCGCAACCTGTCCTACGCAGCTGCTGTGGCGGGCATTCCCAACTCTCAAAAAGACCATGCCGTTCGTGCTTCCAGATTCGCCCTTGATTGCATGGCTCGAATGCATCGTCTAGTGAGTGAATTGGAGATTACTTTCGGCCCCGATACTTCCGAGTTGAACCTCCGGATAGGGATGAACAGTGGGGCTGTAACAGGAGGCTTCATGAGAGGAAAGGTACGATTCCATGATTGCTTGTTTGCCTGTTTGGCTTGGAGTTCCCGTACTCAAACCCTTGCGGTTTTTGCCTTGAAACAGGGAGCCAGGTTTCAGTAAGTGCCAGCAAACAAAACGTCGTTCTGTGGGTAGGACTGTGGCAGGCAGGTGCTGACAACGTTTGTCTCGTTCTTGCCGTGTAGGCTATTTGGCGATGTTGTGAACAGGACAGGGAAGATGGAAAGCATGGGTGAAGCAGGGAAAATCCACCTGTCAGAAGCATGCGCTGAGGCACTTAGGAAGGAAGGCAAAGGAAGCTGGGTTGAAAAGCGCGAGGACTCGGTTTTTGCAAAAGGCGTTGGGGCTCTGTCCACTTATTGGCTTGTCTACGGAATGAACCGAGTTGAGACTGAGGAACAAAGTGAAACCTTCGATGCGGATCATCATATCTGGGCCAAGAGGAAATCTTCTGCAAGCGAGCAACGGAAGCGACTCGTTCGCTGGAATGCTCAAGTTCTGCTAGCTGTGCTTCGGGAAATTGTTGCTTGTCGGGTTGCCCCTGGTCCCATTGGCAGGATTTCAAACTCCTCCGTTAACAATAGGCCTAGCACGGATGCCATGGATTACAGCATTTCAAGCAACCCCCAGATGCCTCTCGAGGAGGTGAGTTGCCGACCCGGTCTCACCAAGCATTCTGTCTTCTCAATCCTGTCTCGGTGTTCGGTGGTGGAACGTCGTCTGTGCTAGTCCTCACATTGTATCTCTTGCTTCTGCCTTTCAAGGTTAAGGAAATCATCATGTTGCCCCAGTTTGACCGAAGGATAGCTATTCACCGAGGAGATGCAGAGGCTGTGGAGATTCCCCAAGTTGTCAAAGAACAACTGATGGAGCTCGTGGCTGGCATTGCAGACTTGTACCAAGATAACCCCTTCCACAGTAAGTCTTGCCAGGATGGCTGCAACCCATGCTCAACCGTTGCTGCGTTGACCATGCCATGCTCATATCCATTTCACCAGATTTCCAGCATGCAAGCCATGTGGTCATGGCCGCTACCAAATATTTGAGCCGGATCAACGCCGCAGCCGATCTAGAGACTTCCCCTACTACGCGACAAAGCTTCAAAGCGGAGAAACTACACGAGTAAGTTTCCCCCTATATTTTTCATGTGATAGCGGGCTAACTTGTGGCAGCTGTGCGCTAACATCGTCCCGCACTGCCCTGGTTCGTGCAGCCACACATACGGTAAGTTCGACGAGTCGATTGCCCGCTACTCGCAATGCTCCGCGTCGCAACATCTAACCTTTTTGCTAACGAAACTTGCAGGCATAACCTCCGATCCTATGACACATTTTGCAATCTTGTTCTCTGCACTCATACATGACGTAGTAAGTTTTGACGTCAAGAGACCGATGGAATTGTCTAGTCTCAACCCAACAAATGTTCTATCGTTTGTTAGTGCCTTGCATAGCTAATCTTGCCGCCCCTTTTTGAACCAAATTCTTCAGGATCATCCTGGCGTTCCCAATGGAAGAATGGCAGAGGAAAACAAAGTTTTAGGGAGCAAGTACAGGAACCGCAGCGTTGCCGAGCAGGTACGTAAATTCGAATCAGCGTGACTGTAACGAGGTCGAGTGCTGGACTGACATTCAGCTGTTGAATGCAATATGATCTCCAGAACTCCTTTGACCTGGCATGGAAGCTCTTTTCAAAGTCGCGATTCAATGATCTTCGAAAGATGATCTGTTCTGACCACAAAGAGCTGGAACGATTCCGCTCGTTGATTATCAACAGTGTCATGGCGGTAAGTTCCAATTGTCTGACCGAACCTATTTTGAATGATAGCTAGCCATCTGCTCGGCTCTAACAAACGTTGTTGGTACCCTCCTTCCTTCTTTAGACTGATCTCGGTGATAAGGAACTCAAAGCCCTCCGCAACAATCGGTGGCAAAAAGCATTTTCTGCCAAATCCGACGAAACCGAGTCTGACACTACCTCCTCCGAGACGTATTCGGAGTCCAATCATGCTGCAATCAACAGGAAAGCAACGATAGTAATCGAGCATGTCATTCAAGCCGCCGATGGTAAGCTACGATGAAGAACGAAGGCATTGTGTTGTGGAAACCAACTTCAGCTAATGCTTGCTTTTTCCAGTGTCCCACACGATGCAGCATTGGCACGTCTACCGACAATGGAACTTCAACCTCTTTCGTGAGATGCATCGGGCCTACAAGGATGGGAGATCGGATACCAATCCTGTCGATTTCTGGTATGAAGGCGAGATTGGTGAGTGCCTGCCTGGTTGGATAAGTGGCACCAGGTCGCTCGCACAAGTGTCAATGTCACCTCGCCTCACACTTACCCTACGACTCTCCTTGTCCTTGTCGCTTCAGGGTTCTTTGACTTTTATATCATCCCACTTTCGGAAAAGCTTCGAGACTGTGGAGTGTTTGGTGTATCCAGCGATGAAAATCTGAGCTATGCTACTGCAAACAGGGCTGAATGGGTTGCCAAGGGAAAGGACGTTGTTGCAGAAATGGTCAAACAGATTGAGGAAGAGGAGGCATTCGGTGACGAATCTGCAGAAGAGCAGCATCCTGACATCGTTGAACCGTAGAGCAGACGGATGCCACGTGCACGCACGCGAACGCCCAGCACAAACTGTCTACCGGTATCGACTAAACCGGTACCGAAAAAAGAGGACGATGGTGGCACAGAGAAAGCAATGTCTTTTATGACGCCCTGATCCTCGGCATGCACTGAGATTGACAATCGAATCGAATCGATAGCGCTTCCCCATTGTGGTCTTCCCAACGTGGCCAGATTTGTTGTTGCTCGCAATCAACGTGAGAAGTATTGTACCGGTAGGATCCATGCATTTGCAAATTAGCGAATTGTTACAAACGATCGATCTATCCTGCTGTACACTCATGGATTAATGAATTTTAAGCCACCGTTCTCTGCACTAATTAGGAGAGTGTGGCATTGGTAGCGGCGCTGAATTTTTTTCCAAAAACGGTGTCGATATGATCAGAATCAGCATCAGAATCCACTTGGGTTGCATCCGTTTGATTGCTTTGGGCAGCGGAAGCCGCTAGATAGCTTCCCAATCCAGCCGCCACGGTGACGGCTGCGACTCCAACTCCAGGATCGGCATCGACGAAAGCTCCCACAGCAGCTCCCAGGACTCCTTCATCGGCAGCTGACGCCAAGAGACCAGCCGTGAGTCCCCCTGCAGTCCACTTGGTGATGGGGTCCACCACACTTGTCGTTGCGTTGGCCATGATCGTTGTGGGAATGACATCTTCTAGGCGGACATTATCGGTAATGGTGTTGGCATCTCCAGGTTCTACCGGTAAAACGGTGACAATTTCGTCTCCAGCGTTGACACCACTGGTTGCGGTAATGGTTTCGTAGGCAACAATCTGTGACGGAGCCACGGGAGGAGCAGACCCGGCTCCAATCGATGAAAGAATGACTGTCCAAACCAAACTAGCTGCCGAAATAAAAGGGATTTGGTAGTCGGCAGGAATGACAAGGAACTGTAGGAACTGCATGGGCAGCCAAAAGAGCCAGTTTCGTTGCAGTAGCGGAAAGTAGAGGGACTCTGCTCTGGCCATTGATTCGTTTGAGTCTAGGCCACTGATGAAACCAGTGAAAGTGAAGAAGAGTGGCATGTATACGAATGGTATGGTTAGAAACTGGTTGAATGCGACCTTGGCAGCAGCCAATGCTTCTGACGAAGGTGGTTGTTCGAGCTGCGTGACGACATCAAAGTACTTCCACCATTCGCTCCACTTATCGACGACATCTTGTACCGGAAAAGACACTCGTTCAGGTCCCCATATTCCCAAAGCGTCGCCCCAATCATGAATGTGAGTGTTCATGAATTCGAACCAAAAATGCTGAAAGACGCCTGTGTAGAGTGCGCCAAAGACGAAGAATCCAGCACCTCGAATGGGATCGTATTCCTCGCTGTCGGATCGCCACTGGGCAATGGCGTCACCGGAGGCAGCCAAAATGGCGGCTGTGATTCCCTTTGTAGCAATGGGATTGTGCCTTAGTAAGTCGCCATAGGCTTGCAAGAGACTGCCACCAGCTTCTGCAGCTTGCTGCGTAATCCAGAAATTGTGAGGATCCAATCCCAACTGAAGCTGTGTGCTGGTGGTGGGAGGTGCAGGTGCACGGACTTGTGGATGCAGTACTAGTACGTTCTTCTTTGCAAGCAATGCTGGTTGACCACAGCTATGTATACCGGTACCAGTATGGATAGGCAGAGTCAAGGGTGTAAAGGAAAATGCAGCACGAGCACAAAAACCTGAGAAACAAAGAAGCAGTCGCAGCGTTGTTTTAGAGTTCGTCATGTTCAAGAGAAGACGAAGCTGTGAGCTTGTCAGCTTGTCAGCTTGTCTACAAGTATATTATGAGGAAATCAGGTTAACTCTTTTGTACATGGCAGTCAACCTTGCAATGCTGACAGAGTAGCATGGAATGCAATCCTGCGGACTTGCTTTCTCCTTTGTTGACAGCTCATAGGCGGAAGCCAAGGAAGAATGATCAATCAACAAGTGTAACAATGCCTTCCCTTGATTGCTCGGGGCAATGACACAAGTCCCACGGTCTGGTGCCACGATAGCGTCAGAAAATCTTTTTGAGTTGACGGATCCTTCGAAGATCATCCAGATGTTCATGACTGACTGAGTCACTCAACAAAAGACAGGACTTGTAGCACACCTCAACAAACCCTCCAAAACATCCTGGCCGATGCAAACCCTCGAAGCAACAGCGCTAGCCTCTTAAAACCTACCGGCAGCTAGCTAGCTAGCTACAGCTAATATCATACATGTTCCTACTCTCTAGCTAGCCGTTTTGCTCTCTTTTGTCGCGGACATTGGAACGTTTGTTTGATCCCCTTCAATAGAACAACCTAGAGTGGTGAGATGGAGAAATCCATTCGTGCAATCAGCGTGACTGGGTCGGTCGCACTTGTGGTTGGCATTGCTGAGAGCATCCTTGGTTTCAGCGGCGCTGTTCGTCGTCAAGTTCAAAAGACCAAAAGTGCAAGAAGACGGCTCAATGACAATGTGACTACCAGACCGCCGACTTCAGCTCCAACAGCCACAGCGACAGCCACAGCTGCAACAACCCCAGAGTCCGTGGACCTTTTTGGCACAACCTATGAGGTTGGAACTACATACAGAATTTCTCAAGTGGGTTCTGAGCTTTCCGGAACCATTCCTACAGAAATCGGATTCCTAACCGAGCTCACACACTTGTTTCTGGGATTGGGAGATATCTTTGGCGACATCCCCTCTGAGATTGGATGTCTCACTTCTCTGAAAGCCTTGAACATGTTTGGGAACGAGCTATCCAACAGAGTTCCCTCCGAGATTGGGTTATTGACAGAGTTGACTGGACTGTTTTTGTACAATAACAAGCTAACCAATGGGCTTCCTACGGAACTGGGGTTGTTGACACAAATGTCGGTTTTGAGCGTTCACCATAACATTTTGTCAGACAGTATACCTTCTGAAATTGGCTTTCTGACCAACTTGAGCATTGTGTGGCTGTCTTACAACCAGCTATCAAACTGTTTGCCCTCTGAGATTGGATTACTGACAAAATTGATGGCATTGGGTTTGGCTTACAACTCCTTTTCCAGCATCACACCCTCTGAGATGGAAGCATTGACTCACTTGAACGAGCTATACCTCAGCAACAACCAGTTGTCGGGAAGTGTGCCCAGCAGCCTTTGTGCCAACCCAGGTTTGATTGAGATACAAGTTGATTGCTTGCTGGATTCATTTCCTGTGGATCCTGTGGGATGCTCTTGCAGGGAATGTACTTGTGCCGGTAGCTAAGCAGCTAAAAAGAACAACTTTCCACAGCAGCAACTGTACACTGGAAGGTTCCAATCTCTCTTCCTCACGAGCATTCAAGACCTATCGCCAATTTAGGTATCAAGTCAGCTCTGCCTACTAGTAGTAATTCCAGCTGCGCCAGCCCGCAAGTTGAAGTTCCTCAACCCTAAGATTGTGTGGCTGATCGAGATAGCGATGGTTCCACAAACGGGAAAGGACAGCGACAAAGCTACCGGTGGTGCATTGAACGAGCAACAGAGAGGTCCAAGTAGCACAGTATGAGGTTCTTTGCGTTATTCTTCCTGATAGTGTTCTTGGTGTCGATAGATCCTTCTTCTGGTTTTTCTCTTATTAGAAGGCTGAACCCATGTCGCGTTAGTGTTGCGAGCACGTTGAAGCTGTGTGCTTCCACGGCCAACGGCGAGGAATCTAAGAGTGGTGAAGCCCCCGTGGACGAAGCGTTCGAGCCGTACCGTGGTCCTCAGCCAGTGGAAGCCCTTCCCGACATTTTTGTGCCCCAAGTATTGCCGGAGGAAGTTGACGAAGAACTGCTGTGGGTTCCTCAGACAGACACGGTTTCGTTTCGTCCGTTGTGTTTGTGCACATCCGGCGGCTACTACGTGAACTTACTACGAGTCAAAGGCGCGGGATTGCTGTCTCGTCATCGTCATCCTGGTCCTGTCCATGGCCATGTCTTGAAGGGGCGCTGGAAGTATCTAGAACATGATTGGGAAGCACAAGCTGGAAGTTACGTCTTTGAACCTCCAGGTGAAATCCATACTCTCGTGGTCCCGGAAGGAGTCGACGAGATGATTACTCTCTTTCATGTCACGGGATCCTTGCTCTACTGCGATGTCGACGGAAATGTCGTCGGAGCCGATGATGTATTCACCAAAGTAGAATTGGCCAAAAAACACTACGAAAAAGTCGGTTTGGGAGCTGACTTTGTACAGCAGTTTGTCAGGTAGCCAACGAAATTGACGATGAGCATTATCAACAAAGGACCGAATGGTACGGCCGGCAATTGAACACTACAATGAGAAGAGGGATGCGGGCTCACATTACGGTAGCTGATCGATCGAAGGAAGCATTCCTGCGTCGATCAAGCATGAGTTTTGGATCTACATGTAGCTAAGCTACTACATGATAGTCAAAAACGTGTATCAAGTTTAATTTTGTTCTACAATACCTTATCTATGAAACCGCATGGTATGATGAACTACGTAATTTCTGCAGTCAAGTTCAGTTAGCCTTGACAAACTAGATGTAACAATAAATAAATGGCACACAAGTGCAATAAGCCCAACCGGTTAGCTGTGGCCGGTGTCGTGTCGCACGGTCCTACGAATACACCCAAAGAACCGTGTCAATCAAAATCAATGCATCAATCCGTCTGATGCTGCCTTGGTGTCCCGTTTTAAAAGAAGCAACGCGTGTTGTGTTCCATTTACTAGTATGATGCGGGCTCCACCTTGATAGGGACACCAAACTTGATGGATGCCTCGTCCAGTATCCTCCGGCACTGATAATAAGGGGAATCGGCAAAGAAGAAGAAATCGGCATCGTTGTCTTTCGATGGATCCAATGCGTCAATTCCATAAAAGGAGATGCTATACCAGGACCGATCTCTTAGGGACAGCAAGCCAATGAGAGCCAGCACGATGGTCTGAAGGTTCTCTAGCTGCTGCTGCTGTTGAGGAGGAGTTTTGGAAGTTGAAAGTTGAGATGAAACAGACTTGTCGGATGCCGGAACAAAGTCGCTTTGAAGAATGTGGAATTGCAAAGAGACAATGTCCACGTCTTGCTGCACTTGCCCCAATAAGGTGACAGTGGTATCCACACAGGAGGCGAGAGTGCGAGGATCGAGAGATTCATTGCGGAGGTCTAGGTCCATTTTAAGTGTCGATTGGAACTGAACCGTTTTCCACATTTCCTTGTGTTTTTCCATGAGAGGGATTAATTGCCGACACAGGCGGGTCTTTTGAAATTGCCATCTTCGAAAGTTTTTGGCAGGAATGACATCCACAAACAGAATGGAGTGGCATTGGTACTCCAATAGTTTAGACTCCAAAAGTTCCAAATCCCAAGGTTGGTCCACATAGTTGGTTAGCTTGAGTGTAGCATTGCTACTAGTACTATCCTTGCATGTACTACCAGCAATAGGTCCTTCCACATTGTCAAGGCTCATCCATGGATCACTGAAATCTTCCTCCTCTGCAATCTCTGTAGAAAGAGTACTACAAGAGGAACTTCTGTTGCTCTTGCAAGTAGTATTTCCTGACTCTGCCTTTTTATCAGTACACGCAGCATCAGTACTACATGTACCGGTACATGTACGAGTAGTGTCCACATCTAGCAAGATGTGATCAAAGCAAAACTGATTGTAATCATCAACATCATCCAACAGCTTGACTTCGTCATTCAAGTTACTTGCTCCATCTGTACCAGGGCTTTCGCTACTAGCAGTACCCGTGGTAGTAGAACTAGCTGCTTGCTTGCTGCTAGCGGCACTGCGTCGACCACCGCGCTTGAGAAACTTGGGCACCTTCATGCTGATGTACTGTAGTTCCTGCTTCAGCTTGTTAGCTAGATAGCTAGATAGCTTCTTGTTAGTTGGCTACCGGTAGCTAGATAGCTAGTGGCAACTAATATATGCGTAAGAGCTAATTTGATTGTGAGACTGAGCAACAAACTGGATCTAGCTAGTAGCAGCAACGGTGCTAGCTAGACTCTCGATTGTACCAGCAGATGCTTCTTCCGCCAGAGCTCGTTGTTCCCAAGCAAGACATGTCCAGGACAATTATGAGCACCGGAACAGGGCAACGTTGCACCAGCTAGTTAGATTTTTAGTGGGTGGAGTATCAATTGCCAAAGATCCGCTTCCACCACCAAAAAATCAACGTCGAAAATTCAAATTTATTTGACCCAAATAATGGTGACATTAGAGTCAGTGGCGCTCGGATGTCACTTGATACAGCCTCTTCCTAAATGCGAAACATCCTCGCTGGACGAACAGAAGATCTCTCTGGATCTTTTTCACGTTACTCTGATGTGTCGTCCGTCGTTGCATCTGGGAGATCTTGGATACTCGTACCGGTACGAGAGGAGCGAGCCATCGGAGTGGCAATGCATGCAAGCCAGCTACCAGTGCCTTGAAGGGTAAACGAACTTTTAGGGCCAACGAACTAATCTTGTAACCCAGTCTGGGATATCTTGGTGGTGGTACATGTAGGAAGCATTCCCCGACTGGACATCGGTTGGGAAGGACGAAATCCATAGGTACACCTGATCGCAATGGTGTTGACGGTGTTCTGGCAAGCCAAGATGCATCTCGGAACACATACTCTACAAGTATTGCGAACAACATGGATCCAGCCAACCGCTTGAGGAGAATCGAATCCTGAAACTTTACAAAGTTTGCATTAGCTACCGGTGCAGTAGTTCACTTCCCTGGACCACTGCCTTGCATCCAATGATGCATGTGTCGCACACGGAGAGTTGTTTAGGTGCTGCTTCCGAGTGGTACCGGTACCGGTATAGCTAGGTATAGATAGTTTATCTTTCTGGGCTGGCTGCCTGAAACTGGTTTGATGGGTTGTGGCAGAGGAAGAGTGAAAGCTTCTCCTCGTGGCTGCAAAAAGCGTGCAGCCCACACCTCCCGGTTTGTGTTCCGCTCTGCCACTGCCACTTTGACTATTACATCCCAAGCACACTCGGTTATCGTTCTATTGACACGGTGAACCAACCCCGTGCCAGCACCTGGTAGGCTTTGGAGTACGTCTTTTCTCCATAATATGCTCTGCCTTCTCGGTAGCCTAGAACCAGGTTGCCATAGTTCGGAAAAGCTCATGCCCGATGCCATGCCGCAGCAGCAGCAACACTGCAGACGAAACAAGTCCGTCCGCCTTCGGAAGATCGCCTGATGCATCGTGGACGATTGAGATTCGATTCATCGTTCCGTAGCAGTTTATCACTCGCGCACGACCCCCATTTAAGAACATAAGTATCCGCTTGATTTTGATTCGATTCTTTCCTAGGTACATGCAGGTTGCTGACAACAACTGAACCGTTTGGGACTATAATGGCAATCGTACCGTACTTATCTATACTCCAACCGATGGCTGCGATTATGTCATATACGTACTCATTCCACGAACCATCCCTCCAAATCTTCTCATTCATTTTCTTTACTGCTGTCAACATCAAGTGCTTGACAAAGTCGAAGGACCAAAACCGCTAATACTGTACAATGGATGGCAATCGAAACACTGGCGGGAACGCAATTCAACACCGCATCCGCATCATTAAAGAGACGCTCTTGGTGACATGTGGCATGGTTGTGCGTGGAGCCGTTCTTATGTTTCTTTTGTTTTCAACGTGGTTCACCGTTTCCTCAGCCATATGTGGCTACTTGGAATACGAGTGCGATCAAAACGCTCGTTCCTGCAAGGCTGAGGATTATCTTTGCATGGCACAGGAAGACCCAGAAAAGTTTCACTGTCCTTCTGCCTTGGGTCAAGCGTTGTCCCAACGGCTTGCACTGCTTGCCACTATGGTGTTGCCGTCCATGCCCTTGCCATCACAATCGTCCGTCGTGGCTTTGATTGGGATAGTTGAAGAGTTGATCAATAACAATGCTTTCATCGGACACGTCAGGAATTTGGCACGAGAATTGTTGCTGGTTGCTGTTGTGCATTGGTTCATCTTTTTGGCAATCAAAACGTACCAGCACCAGGGACCTCGAGCTCCAGCAGCGGCCAGCGCACGAGCACGTCTTGTCAACCTGTTGAGGGAGCTTGGCAGAGAATGCCGGGACGAACGAAAAGATTTTGTGTTGTTCCTTCAGATCATGCTGGTGTGGGCAGTTTTGGTTGCTGCGGTTTTGTGTCCTCTGGTGTTGCATGCCCGCCTTCGGGCGAGTCCACATTGCTCGTATTCCCCTGTCTGCAGCGACGACGAAGGAAGTCCCTCTGTTTATTATCATTTGTCGGCAACAGAGATCCTGCACTTGGCCGCGGAAGAGTTTTGGCGTTTATTTATGATCAATTTCCTTTCCTCTTCACTAATCTGTGAGGTACTTTTCAATGCTGGCCCAATGCTGAACTGGTGGACTTTTCAGAACCGCGAAACCAGCTGGGTGTGGTTTGTAACCCTTTCAATTGGTTCGACTGCGACAATCTATCATTTTGCAGTTGTGCTGCTGATTGGCTACGATCTGTACTGATTCTTGTAGATTCATCCTTTCCAGGGAAAAGGGCACAGCCATTGATGATTGGCGGCAATAAATTGAAAGAAGGATCTACGTCGATTGGGATCTTTGGTGGTCAATGGGCACTGCAATGGAGAGATCGAGGGAGCCCTCGGGCCAAAAGAATATAAGCCATGATAGAGAAAACTTGCTGTATCAATTGTCTTGTAGCCGTGCAGCAAAGAATCGTCAATCTCGCTGCCTGCCCGGATACCGGCAGCTGTGGATACACTAAGAAACAGGGGAAGAGGTTGCACTCTGCACTGTACTCGTGAGTGGGCTGACTCCAAATCCACTCTTTAGTTGCTGCTTGCCGTGTCTCGGTTAAGCGTCATGCTGGCGTTTTCAACCGAGAAGTCTGATTTCGATCATACGATCATAGCAAAGGGTGCCTGAAAGGCACGCTGCCCCACCTTAGCACATTCTTTGTCCGGGTCCTCGGGATTGTAGGTTACGAGTGGTTGCGTGTGCCTCTCTTGCGCTGGAGTCGAGTCGTCGCCGTTCTCAAGATGCTCCACCGCTTGCCTGGACCTCGATGTTTGGGAGTGTCTTTTGGGTACCCGTCGCTCTCGTGACACGAGCACGAACTTCGTACTTGCGGCCATTCTTTCCTTCGAGCGAGAGCCCAAGCTCCCGATAGATCTCCTCTGCACCAACACATAGTTTGAAAGTTTGAGATTGTGTTTGTGTGGGCTGCAACAATGCTTGGGGTGCCTCCAATGAAGAAGTTGACGGGGGCCCATTTATTCGAGGGAACTGGGGTATCCTATTCTACTGTTTCTCTTTCTTGTTTAGACTGGATGTGCCTCGATAGATACCGGTGTTAATCCCAATGAAAACCTTTACCGACAGTCAAGCAACGATCATGATATACGACATGTCATCCGACTCTGGACTTTGGTTGTCGACGAGACCAATGACGGCATGTTTTGCATGTACACGTTCAGACTCAGCCTTGCTTCAGCCTTGCTATCAATACAGTAGCTCGAAGCCACCCTTTGAATCAAGTGCTTTAAATGGCGAGAGGAGAGTACAATTCATCGACGCTTCGTTCCTGAGGCACTTGCAGCCCTGCGGATACCGGTAGTCGTGTCGTCCCCTTTCACTGTTCGTGGATCGTTTGATCGTGGGGTTGGAATCTTTCACCGAAACATCGGAAATGAAGACGATAGCCACGAACGCCAGAGACGATATGTAGAAACCTTGAGATGCGCAAGGACGAAAGCTCGAGGCTTGTGTGTATAGGTGTGTGTGTGTGTGTGTGTGTGTGTGTGTGTGTAGGTGTGTGTACGTTGAGTGTTGTGTGAGATGTGTGATGTTGTGTGTGTGTGGATGGAGCATCCAATGAACGGGTCGAGGAGGCGAAATCAGAGGAAGAAATAAGCCAGAACCAGCTGTCAAAGCATTCGGAGACATCAACTCCCAAGGATTCGGAGTGGGCTCTTTATCATCGAAGATGGAGCTAGAGGGAGGTTGGGCCTGACGAGGAAGCAAAGCTTTTGCAACTAGCTAGCTAGAGCTACCGGTACCACATATGATATCAACTAGCTAAAGCCACCGTAACCTGTACTACAGATCGTACATGTAATGGAGACGAAGCCAAGAAGGTTTACTTCAAAACAGGTTGTTCATCTAACTCGTTAGTTGGTTCTCTTATTTTCTTTTTGAATGCAACATCCAGGTGTTAATGAATGAATGGGTAGCAACTACTGTACCGGTACGGTAGCTAACTACCAGTATGTGAGTAGTCCAAGTTTCTGAGTGAAGTAAGGTACTCACTGGGATCTTCTTGCATGTCTGTTCTTCCAGCAAAGTCTTCTAGTTGCCTGAGTACGTCTTGCGGATCCATAATAGAAACCGAGTTTGCAAAGTTTTGCGTGGACAAACGTCTCCTTTGACCTCCACCACGACGACAGCTCTGGCTGTTGGTGCTGCTGTTCAACGTACCGCTACACGTGGCTCCTCTAGTAGTCGAAGATCTCCTCCTTTGGCTGCCACTGCTTGGACCAGTGCCACCACTAGTACACGTAGCACTAGCACTAGAATGCATAGATGGAATCGATCCGTCCGCAATCAGCGCTAGCTTGACTCGATCCATGTCGGACAGTTGCTCGGATGCATGTACATGTACCGATTTCAACGACGCCGCGGGATTGCTTACCGAGCTCTCGCGGCGACTGCGGCGGCCACGACGAGACGAATTCGGAGTGCTACTCCTACTACCGGCACCGCTGCTGGAGCCATGTCGATCTTTGCTTGGGGGGGTGTTGCCCATGGTCGAAGCTAGTCTATTCTATTCTTTTGATAGACTAGTAGATTGCTTCGGGTAGCTAGCTAGCTAGCCAGAAGATACCGGTAGAGGTACACGTACCCGGTATCCAAACAGGCTCAAGTGAAAATATTATGAGACCTTCTTGACCTTTTGGTGATTCTGATTCTGCATGCTTCCTGGCATTTCAATGGGATGTTGATGGGAGAGGAGGAGATCTCTTGAGACACTTTTAGTTGGCCAGCTACCGTCAGCGGAACTGTTAGTGGTCAAAATTTAACTTTCAAACTTGGGGGAATTGAACGTTAATACATAAAATCAATTGGTAACAAAAAAGAAGTTCACAAGAGATCAAAGATAGCTTCTTTTGCAATCAGAAAGCTATCAGGATATAAAGCGTTGACGCTACCCAAGGTTCCAGTTTGCTCGGTGGTCATTCTTAAGAAGGCACCAGTTCTGATTGTTAGGGTAAAAGGTAAAAGATTATGTCACCTCTCCTCCCCCATTAATTTACAGTACAGGCTTCCTTGCTGCACCACTCAATTTGGTTTTTACAGCATGCTCAAGACAAAGTATGCATAGCATAATAGCATACTAGCTAGCTAGTAGGTACCGGTACCAGCGTTGGCGCACACATGAGCAATGCCCTCGCAGCTTTGCTTTGTATTACATGTCCATGTCTCCATTGACGTCGGCCAGCAAGCTGTATGGCGTATGTATGGCGTATGTATGGCAGGGGTCGGGGGCAAATGGAACTGGCAGGAAGTACCGGTCCTCGGCTCGCTGTTGTGAATGATGCACCGTGGGATACCGCTATGTCAACTGTCGCTCCAGGCGGCGAGCCCAGTCCCAAGCCCCAAGCCATGTAACATTCCGGCTAGACTAGCTACCCATTGGTCAATTCCAGCCATGCTAGCTAGCAAGCTACAAGCAACCATGGAGAATAAGGATGAATGGTTGCGGCTGATCCTGCATGTATGTTGGAAATATGCGTATGTCGGTTCCATCATCATCCACTGCCAAAGGGGCAGGTCCTCATTCAACCATGCAGTTCGAACCAATCCGCAAAAGGGTTGCGCAGCTCGGGATGTCAGTCAGCAGTCAGTACGAAGTAGTTGTGGTGGTACACGTGTACGGTACCGGTACATGTAGCTACGTGTCCACCATGGGGCATTGCTCTGTTCAGTAGCTCCACCGGCTTTAAAATTCACGTCTGGCCCAAACTCGATCGGTCCGGGGAAAGCAGTACTGTACTGTGTATCCTGGCAAGCTGCCAAGCTGCCAAATTATTCATGTCTCCATGCATTGGAACATTCGTTGTAGCAGCAAAAGCAACAGCAACAGCAACAGCAACAAATGCTTTCATAATCCAACCTTCACAAAGCTAAAAGTACAGCAGAAAAGGAAACTTCGACTGATCATACTAGTACTTAGCGCATCATCTAAACCATTGCCTCATTTGGAGCTTCGGAACACGTCCCGCCGGCCGGCATCAATCGGGCACAATGAGCGTACCGGTACTCGACGACCCTCTCCGTGCACTCCGCTCTCCCACCGTACCATCAAAGAAACTGACCGGGCTCGGCCAACTATAGCAAACAACATGAGACGACGGACTGTTCGAGAACAACTCTCCCCTGCCTCCAACGATTGGCAAATGATTCATGCCATTCAAACACTGGAAAATATAGACAATGCCAAGAAAGAGCTACCGGTACGGTTGGAGGCACAAGAAACCGCCATCCGGGAAGTCACCATTGATGTTCAATCCCTATTGGATCATCCAGATGCGATCAATATCTTGGATCGTACCGGTATGGTTTCGAATCCAGACAGCGGCGTGATCAGATTAAACATCATTGGGTTCTCGACACCTCCAGATTCGGAACTTGAATCTTCCTCGATCAAATCGGCCAAACAGATAGGAACAGTGCTGCGAAAGGCTACAGTCGTACTCACACATCCATCGAACGCCTCACCATGTCAAGAATACCCTAGCTGTATTCACAGTCAGACAGTCAGCAGATGGGTCAACTGTCTCTTCTGTCCTCGAAAAATTGTTCACAAACAATACATTGTCTACCCCTCTCTTTCTTCCTGGCTCCGACTTGCCCCCAAGACGACTCCTGTCCTCCAGGAACTTGTTCTCGATCAGGCCAGTTTCCACTCGGACTTTTCATTTGTGGAACTTTTCGACTTTCTCGACTATCATCAGCCTTCTTTGCGGAGCTTGACCCTAACGTTCTGCACGTTCAACAATTCGTTCAACGATCTGTCCCAACACTGGTTAGGCATTTTGCTCAGCGACGAGTTGCATCTGGTCGAAGAGCTCACATTAAAGAACTCGTGGTGGTATCGCGGCTGGAGCGACGGACCCACACACTCTCCTCGTCGACTGCAAAAAGCCAAGAAGCAGATCCAGAAGAAGCAGAGCAAGCGGAGGACTAAGGGCCTACCAACAAAGACGCTGAAACGTTTGGTTATGAAAAGCACAAAATGCCCCAGAGTTCTGGCGGAAGCCATTGCTAGAAATCCGTCCCTCTGCGAACTGACCATGATCAACTGCGACTTCTACCAGTATCAAGGCAGGATGATCAATCCTGTGCTTTTGGTGGTGGCCGAGTCTCTGGTGGGTGGTGTACATGGCCACGCAGCCGCTGCTATCCACAGCCTGAAGCGGCTAGAAGTAAGCGGAAAACGAAGCCAACCGTTGATGAAGAGCCTTGCCATTCTTGTCAGTGACCCCAACTGCGCTCTGAAAACCTTGACGTTGCGGATTGCGGCCAATCCAGCACGGCAGGACAATGGCGTCGATACCAGTAGTAGTAATCCGGGCTTGGATGGTTTCGTCGAAGCGCTCCAGAGGAATCAAACACTACAGCGACTGGAGTACATTGCGGCTCGGCGTGATGACAGGGATGCCAGAGCCAAGACTTTGGAAGAGTTGGAGCTCCTGCTGTCTGCTTATTCTGTTGGCGATTGCACCGGTGCACGTGATGATGTCCCGAACCAGGATGGCTCTCCGCCACTGTCGTCTCGTAGAGCTCTCAACACGTTGATCTACGAGTCGCCGCCGCACATCAAGGAGACTGATGCAGATGTCATTGAGCTGTATCGCGCTCATTTCTACCAAGGGGCTTCCTCCAGCTTGGAAGAAGTCAAGATTGGAAAATTTGTCCGTTGCTGGGGGGTTCAATTCCACGCGCTGCAGATACGGTTTCAAAATTTGATGCAGAGAGTTCTCCTCCGTGAGCAGCTAGAAGACACGACGACTGCTTTGGTTGCAACATGTACATGTACATGTACATGTACTAGTAGTACCGGTATCTGGCGAGCAGTGATCAAAGAGTTGCTTGCCTGGAACGATGGAGCTATAGCGCAGTCGCTGGATTCGACCATGCGGGATCAGTTGTTCCTCTCTGCGATCTTTCAGTGCCTAATGGCTTGTCCACATCAGATGGTTTGGGCGTTGGAGGTTCTCAATGTATCTTTGGATGGCAGAGCTCATTGTGATGTTTGACTTGACCCACCTCTCTTCTATCACGTACAGGATGTATCAAGACTGCTCTTTGGTTCGTTCCATCGGTGTAATCGCCTTGACTGCCTGATCATGCTTGGTTGTCCGCCGAGCTCCACCCTCATCACGCACGACTTCAGCAGTTGCTGGGCACTCTTTGCCTGATGCGGAATGGTACCTGGTACGGGCCTAGTCGTGATACGGTAAGATGCCGCGGATATGCTATTGGTTGGTTGCTTCAGCACTCTATAACTTGAATATATAGCTGGCTTCAAGGGCTAGTTGTTGGCTGTATGCATAGTATTATTCAAGTTGTACAGGTACGGTGTCTACTAAGTTCAGCCAGTACGACTATTAATGACTTTACTCTACTCTAGGTTTGTCCCAACTGTTTGAGTGAATGCAGGTATTCATCAGCTCCTTCCATTCCATCACTTGCAATGTCTTCTAGCTGCCTGAGCACGTCTTGAGGATTCATTTGGGAAATGGAATTGGCAAAGTCTTGGGAGGACAAGCGCCTGGTCATACTAGCACTTGCACTAGTACCAGTAGTAGCTTGAGTACCATTGCTGCAGTTGGAAGCTGAGGAATAGTCCGCCATCAGATCCCGTTGACTGAACTCATTCAGGATTCGTCTGTGAGAGACATCGTCCATCATGAGCAGCAAGAGATCACGTGGGATCCCTCTGCTATTACCCATAGAACTGCTTGTAGCCTCTGTAGGAATTGTACCCGTACCCGTACGAGTTGAGCTGTTCCGCTTGCTCTTACGAGGACCTCGCTGGCTAGAACGCCGAGTGGTACCAGTGCCATTACCTGTACCTGTACCGGTACCTGTACCTGTGGTACGGGCCATGGCCGCATCCACCAAGGCTGCATCCAAACATTCCTGACTGTGAGATCGCTTCAGAGAAGAGCCGGCTGTGTTGCCCATCTTGCTTGATATATTATTAGCTAGATCTAGTACAGGTACGGTAGCTGAAAAGTAATTTACTGATAATAGTTCAGTCCTATTGCTGTGGACAATATGAAAAAGAAGGACGAACCTTTTCCGCTTTGGTTAAAGCAAACGTGAAGTGCAAAAAGTGAGAATGTGGGAGGGCCAACGAGGATCTTTCGATCTTTCCATTGGCTACAGTCCTACGATGTTCTGGTACCAGCAGTACCAGTACTGTACTGTATCGGCAGAGCTGCCGTACCGCCAGTTACTTAGTGGCTCTTGAAGTTGCCTGTACCGGTACCAATAGCCCTTTCTAAACTGCGGGATTCGTACCGAACCTGGTAGTTCTGCATACAAAGATTCATATTCTTTTGACGCGTATTAGGGGGTACTGGAAGTTAAAGCTTCAGGTTTCATTCACACTTTTCTCCAAACTTCAAGCTCCTCAAGTACAACCAATAAATCCGTTATTCAGGAATCTAAAGGATCCCTTCTAATATGTTTTAGAATTAGATGAAGAATCGAAGTGTCACTGCTTTCCATCTGAAAGTATTAGGGATGTCAACCTCAGAATGTGCGTGCTGTGCACCAGCCAAATCCATAAGCTAGCAAGAATGGTTTGACTCGTCACTCAGAGGATGTGCGGATAAGCCAGGACTGCAACCTTATCATAAACTACACGGAGACGACCATGGATATTTCTACCAATGACACCTTCCCAGCTGCAGTGGCAAGCTTTGTGAAAGTACCAGTATGAACCGATCTTGTCTCGCAGAATGAGCAAACAAAACAACGAGTATCGATGACAAGAAAGTACTACGCTTGCTTGCTTTAGTAGATTTACATGTTAGGAGTTAGGAAGAGACTTGGATTTCTTTCACGATTTTGCAGCTTCCCTGATTGCACATGCTTCAAATTGACTCATGGAAGGGCTGGTAGTCTACGGTATACCATCACCCGGTCTTCCATCTGAAGCACTCATCGATGAGCCCAAAAAATCACATTCACCACCCAGACATCGAAGCTCACCACAGCAATCTTCGCTAGTCCGACAGCCCCGAAAACGGGGGATACAATCCACACATAGATCGTCGAGGCAATGGCTGTTGCAGCAGTCACCGTCTGATAGACACGAGTCCCCAGTGAGGCCACCTCGAGGAAGACCGCTGTTTGGATAGACGCCTTCAGGACATGTTTTGCGGTTGGGAGGCCAAAGGAGCTCGTCGCAAAAAGAGCCAAGGCCAAATAATTTGACAAAACAAAAGCCATGGCAACAACATTCCGATGGATTACAAACTCTTTCGCAACTGTCGCCGGGTTGTTGGTTTCCAAAGCCACGGCAGGAGCAAAGCAGGCTCTGCCACAACATTCATCAAACTCACTACAAGGCTGTCCATTCTCGAGACAGGCGCCAGGCAATGGTGGGAGACCGGGTGCAGTCTCTTGTCCAGCAGTAGTACCAGCAGCAGATCCAGTACCTGTACCGGTGCCAGGTTGGTTCGGACCATTGCCACCGGAACGCTGACTGGCTGGCAGTGGGCGGTTTTCAAGTTGTCCTGCCATGATCTGTCTAAACCTCATCATCATCATCATCTCTGCATTCGCATCCTCCTCTGCTGGCTTCTGCTCTTGCTGGAGGAAACACTCTTGCTTGCACTCATCCCCTTGCGGCGAGTGACAGTCCTCTGTCGTCGTTGCCTCATTCGTCGTCTCCTATTCATCATTCTCCTTCTTCCTGTCCTCCTCCTCCTCCCCGTCATCATTGTCATTGTCATTGCCTGCAACATTCTGGCTCTCTCTAAATTCAAGTTGTTCACATGTTCGGTTTCCACTGTCACTTCAGTAGCCTCTGTCGCAGCGGCAACTGTCGCCGTCCCCAGGAGCACGAGAAACAACACCAGCGACACCAAGTTATTCAGCCGTGCCATCGGTCCCGAACCACTAACGGTACTGGTACCGTAAGTCAATGCCATGCAAGGCTCAAAATGGAAGCCCTCGATCTTGGGATACTGGAAGCATTTTTCATGCCTGCCGTTAGGCACAAAAATTCGAAGATTGCTTCTTCAGTTTGGCACTCAAATTTGAGCTGGTCCAGCTAGTAGCTAGCTAAACGTATACATGTATCTAGCTAGCTAGACTAGTGACAGTCTCTGGACCTGCTCCAAGATACAGGACAACACCAGCCAGTGCGCTTTGGCGCCACAGAGCCTCAAACCCATCCGTTACGCACAATACATGTAGCTGCATGTGACAGTCAGGTCGATCTTGAGTTTCTTGAGAGCTGTGCTGTGCTGCTACACTAACGGCTCTGTTGGCTTTAAAGGTGCTGAGTCGGGACATTGCCACCGATCTCCGCACCGCTACGAGCTAAGTGTGGCTGGATCGTTTCCCGGATACGGTCTGTCCGTCGCCGGTCAAAATGTGAGGTGACTAGAAATTTTTTTTATTCGCGCATCGTATTCTTAAGACATAGACCTATCCAGCGATGTATTGAACATACCCAGCGCCCGTCTAGTTACTGAGTAATGGCTAACCGACAGATCTAAGTCCGTCGGTGCGATTCGGTTAATCGTGCAGCATTGGCTGACTCCCACACCGATCCGTCACTGTTTTGCCACTCTTACACGACTTTTCGCACTATCGAACCACTTGCCTCCGACTATCAAGATGCCCCAATTCACTCTATTTCGACACCATGACGGAGCCCAGGACACCTGCAAACACCATCGACACCTCCTTAAAGGCTCTCCTTGTTAGCCCTGTGAAGAAGATCCACTCTCCCAGCCTTCGTGGACGCATTCTTAGTGGTGACAAGGCCAAGAATCCTCCCAACGTGGAAGCACTCAAGCAGGAGATTGCCGAATGGGTCGAAGAATACCGGAAGCTTTCGCACTGCATCTCTATTAGGAACAGCAACAAGGAGACCTCTTGCACCTGCTGCTCGGACATTCCAGCCCCAGGCAGCCTGGAGTTTCAGTTCCTGTGTCAATTTCTTTGGCAGTTTGCTCTGATGGATAGAGAGCGACAGATTGGCTTTGTAGTGGAATGGATCAAGTACGTCCGTCAGCGAGACAAGGTTTGCATGGGAATCCTGAACCGGAATGACAAGATCAGGTGTTTTGTCCTACCAGGAACAGCCTATGACGCCTGTTGTCGAGACACTTTGATTCGTCTGATTGGATACGGCTATGAGAAGTGGATGACATGCGAGAACATTGCCGATGGAAAGAAGGAAAGGACCCATGGCAACGCAGGCAACAAGAACAAGGTCAATCCAAAGGTGGAGGACAATCTAGCTACGTTTTTTGGTGAGATGTCACAGCTTGCTTGTCCAAGAGCTACTCTGTTTGTCCGTCAGCTGGTGGCCGGTATCGTGGAGAACGTTCTGAAGAACGATGACACTGAGGTGATGGAACTACCAGCGGCACATCCAAACGCTCCTTGTACGGACGCTACCTCAGAGACAATGGTTGGAAAGCCAAGCTGTCGGCAAAAGGAACAACACTCCACGATGATCCAATTCCTGGTGTGGAACAGAAGCCGGTCTGTTCTTGGTGGAAGTTCTGTGACTACTGGAATCGGCATCATCCCAAGATTGTAGTAGCTTCTGCAAGGGAAGATGTCTGCAATGAATGCTACGTTTATGCCAATCGACACAAGTATTGCGTCAATCTTCAGAAGAAGAAAGAAGAAAGGCAGGACGAAATTGGCGAAGACGAGGAGGAACAAGAACCCGTGACACAGGAACAGAAGAAGAGAGCAGAAGAGAAAGCACAGATCATGGTGGAACAGGAACAGATGCTGATCAAGGCCGCCGAGCATGTCAAGAGTGCCATCTCTCAGCGCCACTACTATCAGAAGAAGAAGGAAGAAGCGATGGCTACAATGGAGAACAATCCGGCTGAACGTTCTCTCTGTTATGTCGCAGATTACTCACAGAACATGGCCGTTCCTTCCTTTTCCTTTGAACAACCCGGTGAGACCTATTACTATTCGCCCCTTGCTGCCTACTGCTTTGGTGTTGTGGACTGTGCAACGGACCATCTTTCTGCTTACACTTACACAGAAGACATCGCGAAGAAAGGTGGAAACAACGTGGCTTCTCTTCTTTGGCACCATCTTTGGCTACAGAAGGTCCTCTCTACAGATGAGCCGTTCAAGGAGATCACCTTTATCTTCGACAACTGTTCCGGTCAGAACAAGAACAGGATGGTGCTTCGACTGCTATTCTTTTTGGTGAAGCTTGGCATTACAAAGGTTGCTCGTGCTTCCTTCCTGATTAGAGGCCACACGAAGAACGACTGTGACCGACTCTTCAATGTCATGAAGAAAGGCTACCGCAACAGCAACATCTACTTACCAGCTGATCTGGTGGAGTCGATGAAGCACAAACAAGTCACTCCAGTTTGGTGCGATGCCAACGTCTTCTTCGACTGGGACAGTGGTGAAGACAAGTACCTTACACGTCCAACCAAAGTGAAGTCTTACCACGTATTCACTTTTGATATCGACAAGGACGATGGTGACACATTGACAAAGATGTACTCGCACAATATCAACCAGAAGATTCGACAGAACATGGTGAAAAAGGAGTTTCGTGGCAAGGATAAAGCATTCTGGAAAGGTGTTACCCAGACACTTGACAGGATTGATCCGGTTGGCATCCAAGACATCAAGTGGAGGGAGCTTTATGACAAGTGGGGCCCTCTCATTCCAGCGGAGAAGAAGCTAGGGCTCATGTACTATCACGAAGACCCTGGTGTAGAGCGTCGCAACAAGATCAAAGCCAACACCAAGAAAGCCAAAGATGCGAGGAAAGGGCGAACCACCAGTGCTGCCACCACTACTAAGGAGTAATTGCTTAATCTAGGATGTGTCTATGTTGATTAATGAGTTTGTGCTATGGTAAGAGCTTAATTTGGTGGCTGGAACGCTTGTGAGCTTCAGATCCGGTCTCACTTTTCTTTCTTTCGCGTTTTTCTCGAAACCAAGATAATGGGAACCGCGGACGATGACAGACGGTTGCGTCCGGGTTTTGATCCAGCCGCACTTAGCTACAAACTCTAGGTGGGTGGCCGGACCAAATAGAGGCAGAGCCAAATATGAGTTAGGTTGTCGCTCCCTACTACTAGACTAGCACATGCTGGCTGTCAGTTGCAGACCAGGGACAGGGAGAGCCTTGTTTCACAGGAAGATTGTTGCAGCCAGTGCGCCATGCTTGACTCACCAGCAGCCAGCAAAGCTTTCTACAAGCAGTGGACGCACGCGTGAGATAGGTCAAGATCAGGGCATATGTGCTATTTGCAGTAGTTTGCTTATTTGCAGTTGTCCGTACATGTAGTCCGCTAGTCTTTTCTTTGCCGGCTACAGATTTCAAGAGTTCTTGGACTCAGAAACGGGTCCCCTGCCGTGCTCTGTCCTGGCAAGCAGCGCAACAGACTGCCAATACGTTTCGAAGCAAGCTTGCTGTGCCGGTACCATCCTCTGAGCATTTATGCCTTTCACTGTAGATACGTAGAAGGACGAAGCATCAGATTCTCTGCTTGCTTGGGGCCAGTTTGTCTGTCGTCCTTGTCCTATCTCCCACCCCATCAAACCAATGACTCACCAACTTGTCATCGAGCAAGGACACACAGAGGTGGTAACGATGTGCGTCAGACAAAGCACTTGCAGTCGACACGCAAAGACCTTAAAAGTTGCGCTCCCTTTGGACTTACCAATAGTGCAATAGTACTACTAGCTAGCTAGTATCTACTCTCGTACTTGAAGTCGTTGGGTGTGGGTGGCGTGATGCAAAGCAGCCACAGGGAGTTTTACGGAGAATCCAGCCAGTATGCAGCTTTAAATAATACGGAATACGGTACCGCTGTAATACCACCAGCGTGTGCCCCAAGAAGCTCCTGTGGATTCGTCGCCAGTAATACCGCGACTAACATCAAGAGTTACTATGGATTTATCGTACTGTACCAAAACAGTAAGCTCGCATGCAGCTTCGCCCTTTACTTCTCTAATTCTCTTCTCTTCTTCACCTGTACCGGCGTACAAGTCAGTCGCCATGAAACCGGCTGAGAAGCCTCCGAATCATCATTCAAACACCTCTGAGCTCGAGCTCCAATAGGTTTGATGCATGGTTTGCTTTGCCCACAATCTCACAATCTACAAAAGAAAACCAGCAAACCAAGAAACAATCCCAACAAAAGCACCATGCCTGCCAAACGAACTACCAGCACCAACAGCAACCTTAGCAACCTCAGTGAGGAGCAGCTGCAAGAGTACATCTTTGATGCCCTTGAAAAGAAACCCATCACAGGTACCTCTGAAGCTGGCTCAGAGGAGGAAGAATCCACTCCTCAAGTCATTGTGATTCGCAGATCAGCCAGACCTAGCGGTAGCCGTTCCTCTTCTCGCAGCCCTACAAGACCCTCCTCTCGCAGTCCTGCTGCTTCTCGCAGTCCTACCAGAAGGACCAAAGCCCAAAGGACTAAGTCAGCCTCGTCCTATTCCAAGAGAGGGAGCACTGCCATAGACCCGGCCAAGATCATCACTATGCTAGAAGATTTTGCAGGAAAAGATGACAACACTGCTGGAGAGTACCTTCAGTTCCTCAAGAAAAATGAACCCAAGACGGAAGCCAGTCCTTACAGGCCCACCCGGAGGGCTAGAACTCGTTCACCAATGCCGAGGACCAGAAGTGCCGCAGGGCTGTCCAAGAGCCTTAGGTCTTCTTCCGTCAAGAACTTGATCCCAGCGTCTACTGCTGCCTAAACACATCCACAGCAAGTCCGCCCCCTCCCTTTTGATTTGTTTATATTCTGCCTCCCAACTGCTTCCGTGGCACCATCGATAACATACATGTAGTAGCACATTACTGGGCAGACATTCTCAACGTCAAGACCATGGTTTTTATACTGCAACTAGCTAGCCAACTTATTAGGATGGGTACGGTAGCGGAGCAAACTATTGCTTCTGCCATTCATGCTAGAAGATGTCGACAAAAGAATACCCCCAAATACCAAGGGATGTCTGTTTCCTTGATTAATCAAAGATAGTAAAGGTCCTCCATCACAATCGCAACAGGTAACAACAGTCACACCGATTGACAAAACAAACCAGAATCAGCTTTGCTGACGAAGATCGAGTTTCAATCTTTGGCGGAATAATTCGACACCAATGGCGAATCGATCGGAGAAATAATGCGCCCACCTTCCCAGACAGGGAATGAAGAGATTCTACAGAACGGAGAGTATGAGTTAACAGGGAGCCGACCATAAGGGAGACTGACGGACAGGAATCCGGGAGAGCCACTCATCCTTGGATGAGGTGTGGACCGAAGTGTCGGGTGCACAGGTGGTGTGCCTATGTGGTGTTGATGACTAGCTAGAAGGACTACTAATCGGGCGGCTACAAATCAGGTTCACTTTTTCTGAACCAGAGTTGCAGCCGCCCGACACCAATTTTCCTTTTTGACTGGGGGTAATTAGTGTGAGCGTCCGCAACCTGAAAAAGTATCTGCTGCCCGACAGTGACCGCCTCCCTCGCCAAACCTTACTCTGAAGAAAAGTAAGCATGGACTTAGAGTTTGATGACGCCAGCGGCGGGTCACACAGTGTGACTTCCTTAGGGTCCGGTGTCGGAGATGGCGGCGTTTTGCACACCGGCCGAGTGGTGTGCAAGGAGATGTTTTGTCGAGCCCGATTCGTCATGAAAGGTACCGTCTATGTTTGTTTCAGTGACCGTGGTATCGAGTGTAACCGAGCCGGTCACCGAGGAGCTACTCGGTCCAACCAGGTGGGGGTACTCCTTTGAAGGGGTGCTTAGACGCAATGACAAATACTTTGACGGAATCGCTAGTACCGCCTTGTCCCCCCACGAAACGGCCGCTCTTCAAGCCAAAGAGCGAGCTGAGGACGAAGCCGCGCTCCATGAAGGACCCGCCGAACGCTCTCCCGGGATCACGGTGGAAACCGTGAACATGGGATCGCCTGACGCCAAACGAGCTTTTTCGAGTGGAAGCACCAAGGGACGTGGAGGGTCGATCTCCTTCGAAGGCGAAGAAGCCACCCCGGCCTCGCCGGGACCTTCTCGAGCGATACCGGCGGATCTTTCAGCACCCCCATCCCGGGTCATCAGAAGATCGCTGCCCGCAAGAAAACACCCGAAGGCTCGCTGAACGAGGCAGAGAGAGCCCGAAAGATCTCGGAGCTGGCCGCCCAGGAACGAGCTAAGGAGGAAGTCGCCCAAGAAGAAAAGCGGCTCGCGGCAGCAAACTATGAGCAAGAACGAGCCACTGAGATGGCCGTCCAGAAGCTCCTACGTAAACGAGGCAGCCGGGCACAACGGCGAAGGCGCTGAGGCCGCAAAATACAAGCAGGAAGCAGAGGTTCGCGACGCGTTGAACAAGCCTGGCCGCCAAGGCTCGCCAGGAAGGACTCCGAGATAGGCACCCGGGGACAGGCGACGGTACGGCTCCACCGACACCCAGCTTCTCCCTGGAGTACCATCCAGTCCAACCAGCCGCTTTTGTACGGGTATGTGACGGAGTCAATGGAGCATACGGAGTGTCACAACAGCGCAAGATGCAGCCATTCGCCAGCATAGGATTCTTCCTGTGCCGCAGCACGGCTGCCGAAGTGGGGTGGGTGAGTGCCGAACTGCCCATGCAGACTGACAACGCCCCGGCCCCGACGAGATCCGGCGATGGGAAGTCCTGAGCCGCCAATAGTCAGTTGGTACGCAATCCAGCCGGCCACCCACCATGCTCGCCGGAAAGGACCCGTCTACCAAGGACAAGGATGCGATCTACAACATCCCCATCAAGGAGGGCACGGCAGTTCTCGCGAAAGGTTTGGCCCCAGAAGGAATCAGTCCGCGAACGGCCAAAAATTGGGCAACACCATGCTAATGTATTGTCCCTACCAGATAAGACACAGACCGGTGAAGCGACGATGTAACCAGCGAAATCAGGATTCTCTCTTCGCCGCTCAGTCGCCAAATGTCGACGACGAGGAGGTGCCCCCCGACCTCAAGGGCAGCAGCCTTCCAAAACTCAGTCTCAGCCTGAAAGAACGATACTGAGG